TTTTTTTTTTTTTTCAATTTTGTACCTACTTCCTGCAGCCAGTGCATGATATTATCACATGCACAACCATACCAAACAGAAAACAATACAATGTATTAAATATAACTTAAGCAGTGTGCAACATACATTTAGCCACCAGTGTAACCCTGTAGATGTGCCTCGAAACATTGAAAATTGGAATAAAAGTAATCAAACTCAAACCTAAAAAAGTGATTATTAATTTCAAATTACTTTACTTATCTGATGAGACCAGTAGCAATTTAAGTAGCCATCTTCTTTGGTTTAATCATATTTATTTTCTCTACTATTAAATAATCCTACATCTTACATTATAATCTATTAGGATAGTACCACAATATATATTGGTGCATACTTATTTCACAATTTCCTGGTTAAACTAAGTCATATTTGTAAAAGACAAGTGGCTTTCATGATTTTTTTTACATTGGCAGAAGGGTGTCAAACACAATCAAAAAGAAAAAAAAAATAGTTTGAAAAAAGCAGGTTCTGATTTAAATACATGAGCATGTACAATGTATGAAATTCAATGTGAAAAGCTGTATGTATTATTGAATATTGTAGTTACAAAAACATTACAAACAGATAATCTAAAACTTGCAACACATTTTTACAGGTTTACCATGCTGTACATTAGAATAAATATAGTGTAACTGATCTGTAGGAGTTCTTATATTTTTAAAAGGACTGGCTATAATGCAATATTGCATTAACTGACAAACAATTAAGAGTCCCATTTTGGTGACAGTGGCCAGAAAAGCAAACCTAGCTAGTCTTAATTTTGGTACTTGATTCAGAAAAGGTAGTGGTGTTTGTTTACTGTCTTGAATGTTGTTGTTATTCGTTGTCATAGATTCAAAATTTCAAAAAAGTAACATTAAGTTATTCATGGTGGCAGTAGTGTTAATGTTATACTCCACTTCTATGGAGTCAGTAGTTGCGGTACAGTAAAACGAAGTGGCTACTTAAAAACTCATCACACCTCTTATTAGGCTATAAAAACATCAGGATATCAATGCAAGTATGTCAGAAATAAATAGTGTTTTGTTGTCAAAGACATTGCAAGAACATATTTCAAAAATGTCACTTACTTGCAAGAACATAAAATATTTTGGTCAATGCTTCTCTTGCTCCTGCTGGTTGTTATGCATGTTGTCAAGCTCACTGCGCTTGCGTTAATGGTATTTTCACGCGTGGCATTGCGAGAAGAAGTTGTTTTCAAGATGGCTGCGCCCATAAATTGAAAATCAGGAAAACCCCGGAGTGTTTAATGTTTCGTTAGTAATGTGGAGCTGGTTTTAAAAGTAAAAGTATGCACGACCCAACCCAAAGGTGAGTGAATCAAGTTCATTTAAATGTCGTTTGTTTAAAAAGTGTGTTGTCCCTGATTTTTCTCAAATTCTACCTAATTTTTCATCTTGTTTACACTGTGTAGTACTTTTGAAAGCTTTCGGTGTATCCCCTTGTTCACGACAGTGTGCAGTGTGAATAAGTTTACACTTCTGTAAATGATTTGCAATAAGAATGCATGATAGTATGACATTGTTGTTACCCAGGCAGTATCGTGGACGTGCACAATTGTATGTGACGTTGAATTAAAAAGAATATTTCCTTTCATGTTTATATTCTTCCTGGATCAAAATAGCATTGTGTTGCCTATATAGATATATGGTGTAAGATAGTTAATTTCAGGACAGAAACCTGCAAATGATTTCCCATTGACAACCATACTAAGAAATGCCTGCAAAACTGCATGAACAAAATAATTAGCTGGATCAAAATACTTTGGTGAAACATGTCCTTCGGGGGCGGATCCAGAGATATTTTCTGACTGTCTTCCAAATTATCTTTGTTGATCCATCTTCCATTTTGACCATCTTCCGACAAGAAAAACATTAGATGGCTGACAATGTAAACTTGAAAATCTGACCGTCTGCCAGAAGACCCAGGAGACGGCCTAAATCCGCCGCTGTCCTATCCCCATTGGATAGCAAACACACTGACATAACTCCCAATGGCACCAATAGAAGTGCTTATTTTCTTACCAGCAGAAGTTGAACACGTGGACCCCTCTCGTTTGTAAACAAACCACTGCATCGCTCATAGTCAGTAGCTCAATCTGCCAGAGGTTCCATTCTGCACGACGCCTGTGCTTGGTCCCAATTAAAAAATGGGTAGTAGTTTACACCCTTGCTTGCTGTGCTGGTTGACACCAAAATTAACCCTAACAACACACAAGAAATGTCAGGAAAAAAATTGGATAAAAATCAGTAATTTTTCCCACAGTGCTACATTTGTCTACAACAGTCCATGATTGGTCTGTTTGGTGGTTTCTGCCCCGAATGTAACAAAATGAATGGTTAAGAGTCAAATAAGATGGTTTAAAATAAGCATATGAAATGTATTCTACCCAAGGCAGTACTCACTGTAAATGTTAAAAAAAAACTTAATTCCTAAGTTTGTGTGAAAGGAAAACTTTGTAAAGCATATAACACCACCCTGAGTTTCAGAGATAACTTGCCACTAACCTCTTCACTATAGCCTATCTTCATCGTGTCAAGTTACCTCTGACGAAAATAGTTTGACCTAGTTTATATAAGCCAATCGAATCCATGTTTCAAAATTTTTTCACCAAAGTTTGGTGAAAACGCTGATTGGTTGACCGTCAATCGGCAATCCTCGGCTGATTCCGCAAGCTCCATACTAACAACAAAGTTAGTCGAGTGCGGAGACATCCGAGTAGTTCCGAGTGCATAACCGTACACAAAAAAAGCATGGCGTCTCCTACGAGTGACTACGTAAATTAATGTGTTAAGTTATCTCTTGATTCTTTGCAAAATATGAGTATATCGGAATTGAAACCAGATCAGTTTGAGGCCCTGCATCATTATCTACTGAGGGATGATGTATTTTGCGTGCTGCCCACAGGTTACGGCAAGTCCCTGATATTCAGCCTTATCTTTGATTGGTCCGGATTTGAACAAAGCGCGCTTTGACTCGTTCGCGTTCATTGGCTAGATCGTTCAATGAGTCATTGAGTGCGGGCTTTAAATTTGATTGGCGGGCGGCGGGGGCTATCGAATGTGGTCAGAGGTAACTTGACACGATGAAGATAGGCTATAGTGAAGAGGTTAGTGGCAAGTTATCTCTGAAGCTCAGGGTGATAACACAAGCCTAGACAATGAAGTTTCCTATAGGAATTATAAAATGTGTTTTTTTTTTATTATAATGTAGATATACTTCTTTAAAAGGCTTTATAATTTTTATAAAGCTACATAGGACCATTTAAATCAAGTTTTGATGCCTTCGCCCTCAAAATTGAAATGAGACATCTTCTATAATTTTGCATCATTTTATGGAATTGTCAGCAATTAATGAATGAATATTGGTATGGTTTTTCTCAGCCAACTACATCAGTCAATGCAGGTACACTCGACCAGAAAAAGTTTGGAACATTGTTATTTTGTATAATTATAAAATAACCATATGGGCTAAGGTAAATATTTTGACCAAATATTGATGGATAATGCACCCATCATTCATTATTTTTTTGAAATTTTGCCAGGAAAGGAATTTTGTATGAATTGCAGTGACATTTTTGAATGTGGGGTCAAATTTCATTTTCACAAATCATGCAAATGGAATGACAAAGTTTTGAAGTTTGAGCAAATCTTGAGAAGAAACTTTAAAAACTTTTATACTTACAGTTAAAATTAAGTCTTGAGGTTGCTTGGCATCAGTATTGTGTGAAGATTCCACTGTATATTGTCAAGACTTGCTCAAACTTTTTCATGGATATGCAAATGCAGTGGTCAACAAAGTTTTTTTTATTATCATCATCATTATTATTGTACTAGTACTGCATTTCACATGTCAAGTTGAATTCACCTTCTCATGTCCTTTTGAATTGATATAAGTAACAGTTTCAAGCTTGGAATTTTTAAAGCAGATATCCATAGACTAATAAAAATAATAACAACAAGAATTCTCTCCCTCCTAAACAAAACATCAAGTATTTACTAGTATGTAGTTGTTTACAGTGCTCAGCCAAAGTCTGCACTGACATGCAGATTTCTACTTTATACATTTGTTAATATGCAGATTCTACTTATCATTGCATCAAATCTTGGAGTTTAGTTATATACAAAGGTTAAGACAAAGCCATTTTTGTCTTTGAAATGAAACTTGGCATACGTCAAGGCATTCAGTAGTAATTAATGCTTTTGCATTGTATCATGTGCCAATACAGCCTGGTGTGCATGATGCAGACCTTGGTTACTTTTTAGTGATTTGGAAGGAACCCAGTGCAATCTCTATTCATCTGCCAATAATTAAGTTGTAAGACAAGTCTTTGTGTAGAGTCAAAAGTGACAGCATGTGTAGGGTTCCAATAAAAGCGAACAACAAACAAGCAATGTAGTTTAGTTCCTTTAAGCATTTATTTAACAGCATTCCCTGAGTTTCTTCAGGAGCTAAAGAATCTGAACTGATATAGTGCATTATAGTTGCTGTCATAAATTTATATACATGTGTTGTTTACAATTCAGGTTAACATTGAAGTTGAAAACAAAAATTCAGTTGTATACAGTAACATGATTAATATTACAACATAAATGCCATTACGCTAGAATTTCACAAATGGATCTGTATGCAATTCACACTTAAATCTAAATGTTTATACAAAAAAGTTTATATTATCCTATTTACAGTAAATAAAAACATTTTGGCAAGTAATTATCTCAGTCACTATACTGAACAGCTTGGTATACTATTAATCTAATCTTGTTGTATGTGTGGCATAAAGATAGATACCGTAATCAACTTTTGCACCTAAGGTTTGGTGAAGTAGCTGTTTGTTTTGATAATGTGATTGAAAACTGGACTACTAACTTTAGACCTATTTGCTGACCTGAGGGTTACATTTTGGTAGTCCTGAAGATGGTTTTAATTTTGCATGATACATAACTATGATATCTTCTGAGTGTTTTTCTTTTATAGAAATTACAGATAATGTCGCTGTATATCTACAGGAACAGCCACCTAGGAAATGCTGGTTTAATGGATGTGGGAACATCTTAGGCTCCAATCGCCTAATTCTTAGACTTTTTGTATGATGATTTAGACTTGGGACACAATTTTACATAAGTGCTCTTGTATTATTCAATTGAATGTCTATCTTGCTGGAGACTGCTTTAATTTGGATCCACAGAAAAACAAATAGGTATTTCATTTATGTTCATTGGTTATCATTAAATATTCTTGATAAACGTCTAATGCTTGTCTTTTTATTTTTTAAAAAGTGATGATTTATATTTTGTGCGGACTTTATTTCTGCTGTGGTTTGAAATCAGATCCTCATCTCTTCTTGGGCGTGGCATAGAGAAGCTGCTGTAGTCATAGCTCACAGAGCCCTGGCTAGGCCTGGGAAGTGAGTTACTTCTGTGTTGGTATGAAGATGATGAGGATGGAGTAAGACTTGGCCTTGGCAGAGAGTTAAAAAGTCCATCGTGATGATTGTTAGCATTGTGGAAAGTGAGAGAAGGTCTGCGGAAAAAGGTCTGAGACACAGTGCTGCTGCTTGATGCTGAATCTCTTCTTGTTGTCTCAGGAGCAATTTGTAGGGGAACCTTGGCAGACCATTGTCCACCAGAGCCAGCAAAGTCTACGCGTGCCTTGAGGGTGTAAGTCACAGTTATCAGTTTACAGCCAGGAAGGTGAGATGGCAGCAGATTTCGAGGCAATTCAAGTGCAAATTCGTATCTACTTATATGTACACCTGCTGCAGTCATAACCTCACTGTCTCGACGATGGCGAGTAAGAAGGTTCTCTTCAATTCCAGCTATATCAGCCACAAATGTTCTCATGGGGTTGACTGTGGTCACTTTTTGCTCTAAGTCTATTTTTCCTCTGACAGGTGGTTTATTTGTTTTAGCATTGATCTCAATGTGTAGAATGATGCTGTCTCCAACGGAATATGCACTGCGATGCAATTGCAACTTCACTACACCATCATTGCTCTTCAATGGCTTCAGTATGCTGGAAGTTAAAACATCTACATGCTGAATAGGTGTGAAGGCCCCAGGCAGGTCAGTTATACTAAATGGCCGCTGGATTACAAAAGGGTGGGAATCCTCCTGCAGGATACGGACTTGTTGACGCAAAAAGCGCTTCCCTTTTGTAACTTTAGTCATAGCATAATCACATATTCTGGCCTCTACTGCATACCCAATGTGGAAACTAAACTTGTCCAAGGGTGCCACATAATCTGTTGAAGATGGTATGTCTGTTGGCAGATGATACTGGAACGCAGTGGCATACCTGCCTGGGTGGAGCACAGTTATCACAGAGTTGTCTGGCGAACCAGCCATAAATGTCCTCTTGAAGACATAATTCTCTAGTCTGGCCGAGGAATGTCCCCAGGAAATAACACCCTCTCCTTTGACAACCACCTCAATGAATTGCAGATCCAGTGGGTTTTTCACATGCAAAATGATTTGCCCTTTGACGTAATCACCTGGGGCGTAGACAGAATCGGGATTGTCTGAGTCAAACAAAATAACTTGGAATTTGGTGATAGTCTGCTCGAGGAAGGAGGGGGCTTTTGAAGTTTTGGTGATGACAGAGACGCCTCCTCCCTGTGTCTGGGGTTGGTCTGAGTGGTTGTGAGCCACAGTGTGGACCACCTTGTTTCCCGGGACATGGTGAATACTTGACTTCATGGTGCTAGGGTAGCCTCGGTGTTAAAAGAATAAGATAGCTGAAAATAGATATATTAAGATGGATGAAAAGTTTGCCACTGATTTGCAGCAAAGTATCGAGATTTTCCATGTTGAGTCAAAACTGACATTTAAATTTACCAAATGTTGAAAGCACTGAAATTGGAGCTTTACTTATTACAGTTTGAATGATTGGTAATATTTACTTGAATTTATTAATTTTGATATACAAGAGCTATAGCTACGATTGACATTCATGAAAAAGTTTATCTTTATGGTCCAAATAAATAATTGTAAAGTTGTTACTATTGAAAAACCTGCACATGAATACAAAATAAGGCCACTGTATGATTTACAAGCAGTTGTGAAAAAAAAAATAAAATAAAATAAATGCTCTCTTGCAACATTTTAGTTGTGGAATAAAATATTTATGAAAAAGGCCAGTGGTTCTAACTCTAGCTATGATAAAGGTAAATGAAATTGAGATAAATATGATAAATTTTACTACTTACTTGGGTTTCTCATCGTCAAACACGTCCTCTCCAAACGATTTCGCCCGTAGAAGTGATGATTAGTATGTTGTTGGTCTGTGTCACGCAGCTTCCTGTCAGTTACGGCCTTGCAGCATTGCCAAGGCGGCATGACATCAGTACCCAGTTTGTACCACCGCCTTGAGGGAGAGATATGGAAATGTATATGGTCTGGAGACACAAACTACTAGTTGATTAGAAATGGAAATGTTTCATTACAGTAAATCCACATTTTTGCATATAACTGCATTTGGGCAGTTTCACATGTTATGTTTGCAACAAGGCAGGCTAAATTTTCACAAGTGTTGATTTGTGAAGTGTGTATTTGAGCTGTCATGCTTGGTGAACTTTCTTACAGGCTAGATGCAACTTATAAACTGAGTGGGGAAACTCTGAGATTTTTTTGGTAACCGTTAGAAGGTTAAGATGTTATGATTCATAAAGAATAACCGTACGTGTGCTTGTATCTAAGGGATTGGTATAGTTTGATTGCAAAATTTTGAGTAAACAAAATGTATTGTTATGATGAATTAGTTCTCCTTAATTACTTTAGTTTGTACTACATTTATTACATCATTAGCATCTCTTGCTGGTAACAATTTCTTTTTAAGATTATAAAAGAGCACTGAGAATGCATAAAAAAGGTGCAGCATGATATTCTAATACTGAAGCATTAATATGCAACTTCTTAATTTTCTTTCTATGTTATGTACAAATATTCTGTACAAGAACCAAACAACAGGATTGTCCTAAACCATTCACTATAAGTACAGAATTAGCAGCTAGGTCTCATAATATACCCTCCTGTTATATAGCACACTGATTTCTGTCATTCCAGTGAAGAAAAGAATGAGGGTCATGTGGCCATCTGGCATGGCTATCCCACAGGTGACCTCCTGGTGTCACCCGGCCCTCTGCTGTCGAGGACTGTCCACAGTGTGGCAGTGGGGGACAAGCACATCATCTTCTTGACCACTGGGCACAAGGTGTACAGCCAAGGAGACAATAGCTTTGGTCAGCTGGGCATTGGGACCATAGGTACATTATAGAGCGTATTCAGCACAGCGGTCTAACAGATCCGAGGATCAAATACAGTCGACCCACTTGAATGCTTGTTGCGTAATCCCGGCAGGGAATCTGTTCAGTGTCTTATTGGGAATTAAGTAGCAAACTTTTTAGTGGGTCACAACATTTGAATCGTGGATCTGTTAGTCCACTGTTCTCAATGCTCTCATATATTACTTTAAAATATGCTTTGAAATTAAACAGCATTGGGAATAAGGAGCTGTCTATACATCATTTGACTTTGAAATAAAACGGCTGATAAAATATTATTTATAAGCACTCATGCTGTAAAATAAATGCATTTGTTGCAGTCACTTAAGGTCTCATCTTCCTTTGAAATTGGGTGTTACCCTTTCTGTAGTTCTATCTAGGGTGTGCTGATGATCAATCATTTTGCAATTTCAGGTGGTGAATGCAAAGAGACATCCCTGATCAAAACATTTGAGGGTATGTGTCAGTGTATTTTATGATGTGCTATATAGGCTCAATTAACAGTTGTTAGAATGCATTGAATGTATTCAGGCATAATGTTTTGCTTAGCACATATTTTGCCTTTGGCAGGTGGTATGTGTTATTGTTCTAGATTTTTTATGGATTGATTGAAGGATTTAAGAGTGACATAGTTCTCAATATATGGTAATTTGTCTAATGATTTTTTAGTACTTTTATAAGTTGCATATATAAGCCTCCCACATGTTCCTTGTTGTCATTTCAGGACAAGATGTCTGCTATATTTCATGTGGGAGTAACCACTCTGGTGCAGTGACTGGGGATGGGCATGTGTTTTGTTGGGGAACTTCCAAAAGTGGGCAGTGTGGAAGTGGTCAAGCAACAGCTGTTCCTCTGCCAACTAAAGTTGAAATTAAAGAGCCAGGAGGGATCTGCGTTCATGGGATCCAGGGCCAGAACCGTGAGGTGTGCATGCTTCAGGTGGCATGTGGAGACACACATACCTTGGCGCTATCAAATAGTGGGGAAATCTGGGTGTGGGGCGCTGGCTGTCAGCTGGGGTTGAACACTGAGAAAGAATGTCTGGTTCCTCAAAGACTCGACTTTTTGCATGATAGATTTGTGATTCAGGTGTCTGCTGGTGCCGAACACAGTGTGGCTCTAATCAAGAAGTCATCTGATAAGAAGACAAAAATAGTGTCAAATGCCCCTGAGACTCCACTTGTGAAACCCGTAGTGCATCCCATTACTCCCTCCACATGCCCCATGTGTGAAAAAGAAATATATAGCATGAAAGAAGAAGGGGATACTTGTATTATAAGTGATGATCACAAGTGCCCCTTGGGTCTAGCACTTGATTCAGAAAAAGCTGACCGGGTTTCTGAGAGTGGTAGCGAACCTCCCAAAAGACTTGAGAACGAATTCATGGACTCAGTTTGGGTTCTCAGAAACGGTGATAAGGCTCCCTCTACTAGTCCTTCAACTGCAATTGCTACTGCTGTTAGTTATACCGAGACTGTTCCTAGCAATAAAGAAGCAACATGTGACACCAAAGTAGTTTGGGAAGTACAGAACTATGAAGAAAATGCCTCACCTAAGGCTCAGGAAAAACAAAATACAACCACTACACAGGATAGTGCTGCTGACAATCATCAAGAAGAGGATCAGGGAAGTACAAAGGTGAAAAGTGCATCAGAAAAAACTGAAGCATTTACGCAAAGTGTTGCACTGGAACAAGAAAAAAATAGTTCATCTCCAACAATACCTGATACCACTGCTGAGTCTGAAAGTGGAAAACAAGATGTAGAGATGGTTCGAAGGAGAAGTGGTGCATTTATTGATGAGCAATTCTCACCATCGGGTTCTAGCATACCTAAACAATCATTATTTCCACATGCGATGGATAAAGAGACTGATGATGTCTTCTGTGAAACCCCTGAGAGAGAGGTCCATAGGTCGCGAAGTTCGTTTTTAGGTGATGTCAATGGTGCAAGGCAATACTTATCAAGAACATTATCATTAGAACAAAGTTTGTCAGATGCTGATTCACCTTTGAAAAAAGATGTTGAACCTTCTCCAGAGAAAGGAAATGCCTTAAAAAGCCAAAGAAAGAGTGTCAGCACAACAATTGCAAATTTTGCTTTTGTTTCACATTTTAACATTGAGTTAGAGGATAGTTTTGAGGCTGGGGGAAGCACAGATTCTTTGCAAAATTCTTTGGAAGATCAAAGCAATAGGTCCAGCAGTAGATCATCTACTAGTAATGAGGGTTCTCCTTCGTCAGGGGCAAAGTTGGTTCGCAGGGCTTCTGATTTTATTGGAACGTCACAGTCATGGACTGCAGCCGAATATAAAAATCAACGTGGAATGCGACACTCTTTATCCTTAGACTTCAAGAAATCAGGAGAGGAATTTACTAGATGGAAGAAGCTTTCACAACCAGTATGGGAGGCAAGGAAGAGACAAAACAGTGAGTATTCTCCCAATGTATAGCCATAAATGTATAAAGGATAACCTCATGGCCTCAAGAAAAAAATCTTTACCTGAAGCAAATACAAGCGTCATGGGAAATGAGCTTGGGATTTCATCTAGGTATCATATAGTGATGTGAAAATTCACAAACCTGCAAATGTTGCTGAAGAGTATCATTATTATGAAGGAGAAAACAGTTTAAAATTATGTATACTAGTGTGTGTGTGTGTATGCATGTGTGCACGTGTAAGTGTATGGGCATTGAGCTGGAGTTATAAATAAAAAGCAAGATTAATTGGATTGTAAAGCATAAAATTATATATATAGCTGAAAGAAATTGATAGTCCAACACATATTATTGCTCGTTTGTCATCCTAATGGTTACCTTCTAGAGATGACATACCTGCATCTAGGCACAAGTCATTTTTCTGTATATGATGATTAAAGTACAAGACAGCCCACAACCCATCTGTTTTAGTTATAGTTATCCTAAAGCAACGAAAATGACAGTAATAGCTTGCCTTAAATTTTTTATCATATGAAATGATAAATCATGGCATATTTTATACAATTGAATGAACTCTTAGGGACATACTGTTGCTTATAGTCAGTAAGACAGAAGGAAAACAATTTTAAATGATATGTATCTTTAATCTTGTGGAATTTTATTTAAAGCAATAATAACTCTTCGTTTCGGCCAAAAAATGAATTTTCCTGGAGTAAACAAAAATTTTCCCATACTTACCAATGGTTAATGAATCCATTTTTACATTCAAAGTTAGTCCCTGGTTTTTTTCTAAAAAGTTTGGTTTTTTGTTAAAATCTCTTAAGAGATTTTAACAGAGTATAGACATCAATGGAGGTCGCATGGTCTTAAGATTATCAGAATAATAGCTATAACTGCTGTTTTGTGGTAAAACAGAATATATTATATTTCTATGAGTTATTCACAAGGTTTTTATTGTGAAACATAGATCTCATACGAAGAGTTATTATCCCTTTAAAAAACATTTCTGTAACGTAAAATGGGATATGATTAATTGATTTCTAAATTGACTGTGGAACACCATGGGCCTTAAAACCAGATTGTGATGCCTCTCACTGAGTTGATGGTGACCTCAAAATTTTGGTCTTAATCATCCTCCCACACATTTAGGTTGGGCAGTTGAAAGACTTATGCCGAAAGCATTTTTGATACTAAAATACTAGTTTGGTCCATTTTTTTAGATCCACACCTTCAATTAATTCTAAAATAACATTGCTGCAGTACATACAATATATAGCTAGTTGAAATACTTGTCTCATATTGTGATCAATAACAGACCTTTTGTACCTTTGTCTCATTTTGTTTCATGACTGAATATTATCTCTCCTGCATAGAAAATGCAATGGAATGGTTTAAAAATAATTATAAATATGGGTTAATTTTAGTGTAAAAATGGTGTTAATTTTACAAATAAAAATTGTCAATAGGACAAGTGGTATAATAATCATGCTTAAAGCATTTTTGGTGTGCTTTTGGTGGACATATATTGATGTTATCACAATTTCTTTCTAGCTGAAGTCTATTTGGAGACAGAGGTGTGGACTTGGGGCAGGGGAAAGAAAGGACAGCTGGGACATGGAGATATGTTGAATAGGTATTTTATATGATGGTGCAGTTAATGGTTTAACCAGACAAATTGATGTGAAGGGATTTTATATTTTAATAGTACAAAACTACCACATACAATTAAATGGCAAATGATCAATATGTAGACTGCATGGTATTAAAATAATTTGTCTGGCATGTATCACAGTCAGTATAAATGGTATGCATCAATTATATTATTTAGCAAAATACTATTAGAAAAGAGAACAATCATGGCATTCCTGTTTCAGAAACCAGCCATGCTGTATCAAGTCCCTGAGTACCAAGAAAGTGATGAAAGTGAGTGCCGGCAGCTATCACACCCTGGCAGTGCTAAGTACAGGACAGGTGCTCTCCTGGGGGTCCAACTCTCATGGTCAGCTGGGGAGGACAGAAAATGAATACAGTCCAGGCAAAGTCAAGGTATGTGCTACTAACACAAAGCTATTACCTTGTATGAGGTATATGTAAAAATACACATTATAACTTATTTGATAAACATAGTTTTTCACAATGTTAGTTAGCAGTTTTAAAATATGTCAAAAGTAGCATTTTGAAATAAGTAAGACCTTTTGCTTTTTTGCAAATTTGGCTACCACAATATATTACTTATTATTTATTTTTATTTTAATTAATTTTTTTTGTCAAATAATTTAGGTTTTGTCCAAAGTTCATTTGTGGGATGGTGCAAGTGGCAGAGAGCATTCCTTATTTCTTGCTGACTGTTTAGGAGGAGGACCACCAGAGGTTTACTATAGTGGGAGGAGGCCAGAGTAAATACCAGTTCTTAATCACTGATCGCAAAAAAAGCCTGAAAATGAATTATGTATTGAAACCAACTTTTCTTAGATTCTCGTATTGACATTGAATTTCATCCAGATTTTTAAAAGTATTTATCAGTGGTAAACATTCAAACGTGACCTGCACCATTGTATATCATCAGGTTTAGATTTTAACTTGCTATATTCACTTCCAATTCATGCCTCCATCAGTATACATTATACATTAAGCAAGTTACATCTTATTAAGTCAGACTGTATAATAATTTGTACTTTTTTACCTGAAAGTGTCCAGGAGAGCTCCACCATGGTGGCACAGCCTATCAAACTCAATGTTGTAAGAAAGGTTAGACAAGTTACATTAAAATTAAATTATTTTGTGATACATTCTACAAAATTAGATTTCTGCAGCCAATTAGACACAGCTTCAATTGATCTGTTAAGTTAAGAAAATAATTTGAAAATAACAATGACAATTTCAGTACTAAAAACAGTAATGATATAATATGAACAGTACATTTGTCAGAAGTAAATGTATATCATCTTTTGCTGTTCCAGTGTGGTTGGGTGAGGCATTTAGCTGCAGGTGGCCTTAGTGTTGCTGTTTTCAACAGAAACACATCTAATCACCTGGCTGCCCTTCATGAGCTAGCCAGCACTGAGAGGACATTCTTTCATCATATGGCACTCATTGCCTCTGGAGTACTGAAACATATACTCATGTCAGGTAACATACACTCATGTCAGGTAACATACACTCATGTCAGGTAACACATATATACTCATGTCATTTAAAATACACTCATGTCAGGTAAAATACACTCATATCAGTAACATATACTCATGTTAGGTAACATCCTTATGTCAGGCAATTTAAGGACCTATATTTAATGAATTAACAGTTTTCTTTCTGCAGTGGGGTTCATAATTACTTGAATGACTATTTATATTTTAATGAGAAGTTTTAAGTCGTGAGATTTTTATGTTGCTTCATTTATAAGAACTTCTATACTTTTGATTAGAATGTCCTATGACATATACGGCATTTTCTAGATTTTATCATAACCATGCCTCAGGGATATAATAAATTATGTGACAACAAAACCATTTTCATGTGGAAAAGTCAAATTTGAATTCTTTATTTGTTTGAATTTGTAACATTTCTTGTTTATTTCAGAGCCTTTTGCATCTGAAGAGATTCATTCATCTGAACTTTCTATGAAAGTACTATTTGATGCATTCACTGGGCTGTCTAGTGTGGTAAACTAAATTTACATATTTTTATTTATACTTTTTATATAACTTCCTTTAGTATTTATGGGGACTTGGGAGTAATAGCTTCATTATTTGTTAATTTGTTGCTTTGATGCAGTATCAGTTATAACTTATTTTGTTAATTGGTAGTTGCTTGTATTTTATTTAGGTCTAAAAGTAAGTCACTTTGTTCACTGTTATTGTTGATGTTAGATAACAGATGTTTGACAGATGCTTATTGTATTGCATAGTGATGCCTTTGTTTAAAAACCCAACTTTCTTTTCAGATTGGCATGAATAGTGTGGGTTTGACCCGAGCTGTGCAGGGGTCCCTGTCTGTGAATGAGGTGTTCATGCTAAGACAACAGGACCAGCTCTTGTCCACATTACAGCACTACTCCAAGAGCTTTGGGGATGCTGTGGCCATTGGAGCATTTGACTGGAGTAGTAAAGTTGTCAGGTAAGTCTTGGACATTTGGAATGGTACGGCATAGGGAGATTTTGGAAAGGATGTTAGAGATCAGTTAGTGGATAGAGACAGGTTTTTACCTTGATAAACTGGCCATTTATTTTATTTACTTAGCCTATTTATTCATTAAATATATTTATGATTGCTTAGTATTTTAGGATGGTTATCAATTTGCTTATAGTACATAATTCACAAATATTTTGATAACTTACCAAACTACAGCAACAATGATTTGACTTAGCAGAATTTAATGTCCTTTATTTAATATATTTGCAGCACTGTTTTCAAGGAGAAAAACATCAGAGATGTTGTCACAGATATCCTTGAAGAGATCAATTGTGAGAAGAACTTGAGTGACGTGAAGACCTTGATGAAACTGCTGCAGCTCCCTCTAAGGAGACTGAAGGAGTATGAGCGCCTTGCTCAGAACCTGGCACTTTGCTACCCTGATGTAAGGAACAGGCCCTAAACAGCTAAGAACTACATATTAAATATCAAGTATTTTGTCATGATACTGTTTGATTTCATTATACTTGTAATTATACTTTGTGGACAAAAAAAGTGTAATTTAATACGTGCAAATATTACTGGAAAACTATTCTTTATTGAATGATATCATTTGCCTCATAGTATTCTGTTGTTAAATCAGTTTTCAGGTTATAACATCTTCAGATTAGATGTCATTGCACAGTAGAGAAGAAAATTTACCTTTGTTACAGATGTTGTGCATTACAGCACAACATCAGTATATATGGCTATAACAGAGGACAGGAGAGTAATATATGATGTTTCATTATAGCACAGCATGGAGAGTGACCACCTTTTCCAGCTAAGTAGCAGCTGTGGTCAGCTTAAACAAGCGGCCATTGCAGACCATAATCTTGCTGACAATACCAGGAAGTTCTGGGATCTTATATCTTCTAAGATGCCTAAATTCAATGTAAGTTACTCCAAAAAGAGTCTGCCTCTTGTCATGTTTGATTTATATATTTTATGAAGTCATTTTAAAGTTTTGTTAGTTAGTAGTTCCTAAGATAAGTCAAAGTTCAATTTAAATCTAGAAATTACTGCATATATATATTACTGTATATTCTAAGATACCCTAAGTATCTTCTGTGTACAATTAGAAGCATTAAATAAAATTAAAACAATGTGATGTGTTTTTCCCAAAGTGATTTCATTTATGAATTGGTTAAGATCCAGGTTAATTGTACTGCTTAAAGTGTGGCTGTTTGTCCCCTGTCTCATATACACATTGTAGTTCTTATGGTTGTAGATCATTTTATTTTTCCCACACGTTAGATACAGGCATGATTGGTAATTTTTGTTTGTTTTAGAAAATTGCCAAGGTAAACTGCTCAGTGGACATACTTATTAAATGTGTCTTATGTCAGCTACTCACTTATTTATATATAATTCTGTATGTTTATTAACTTCTGCCTTGTGTCATTTATCTGGAAAGGGGGTTTATTTTACATAGTGAGATAGTAGGTACCACAGTGAAGAAATTAGATGCAACTAATAATTTTTGATTATGATCTGCACCGAAAAAGCACTGTCCGTCTCATTGTTGAACACAAACCTCACTACTGTACCAGCTTATTTGAGTGTATTAGTTGTTTGTTTAGCATGAATGTCACCTGTCTCCACAAAGGGTTATTAACAGGTAGATATTTGAACTCTTAGGCATGCTTTGGTATTTTAGGTCTGTTGTGGATAGTTCACCCTGTCCATATGTGCTTCTTACACATCAACATCTCTATTGCATGTTGGTGGCTCTGAGGAATCCATTCACTCCTTTACTGTCTGAAATGATATTGATTACTTTTCATCTTACCCTTTTCCCTCTTTTGTAGTATTTGATTCTTATTTTTTAATCATCATTTTCCCCTGTACTTTATGCTTCTGCTGTACCAGATGAGACAACTACAAGTTGACTTTGGATCTTCATACTTAAGAGGTCACAATGTGGTGAGATCTCCTTGCGTTGTTTATTTACTAAAGGTGTAACAAACCAGCTAGTTCACTTTAACATTTAGTAGAGAACCAGATTATAGATTATAAATCTCTATTATTATTGCCCCAATATCCAAGGTGATTGGAGCTAAACACTGTTAATAATATCTTAACATGGCATACCCTGTTTACCCACTTCCCTCATACCAGTTTCCCATTTTGGTGAACCATTTAACATGCAAGATTATTTTGACTTAAAATTTGGGATTTTCATATCAACCTTAGTTGCCTCAATAATAGAAAAATATTTAAAAACTCAATGATATTTGCACTGTTTTAAAAACCTTTTTTTTTCAATGGATGATGTCAATTATACCACATGGCTTTGATGTAATTTGCATTTTTATAATTTGTCTGGCAGGCTTGGTCCTAGCACCCTCATTAAAACAAGCATATGTTAATGTGAAAATAACCTTCCTTTTTACGGCCTAGCTTTAAAAGAGCTTTTTTCATGTTTAATAAATTATGTTTGCATGGAAAGAAAAAAGGATTTATCTTCCCTTCAGACCAAAAAGGAAAGTGTTGTACATTAATAAAAAGTTATAATTACAATAAAGCTATACCAGTCCAGTAGTATTGGGACTTAAGTGAGGATATGTTGATGGGGTATGGTTTGGTTTTACACTAACATGATTGTTTTGTTATAAATGGTTTTATCTCATTGACATAAAGTTTACTAGTTAATGAGTTTTGAAATGTCTGTTAATGTTATCAGCAGAAAAGAAAAGAAAAGGACAGCATTTAAGTATTTATAAGACAAAAATTACATGTAATAAAAGACCAGATTATGACCTGTAATTTAAGTTATTCCTATCCTAGTGACAAGTCTTTACGAAATGCTGTAGTCAACACGCACAGCACAGCTTTTACAGCATTTTGAGGGATATCTTTTTCATTTCAGTTCTTAAAATTACAGGAATTCACTTAGTTCTTATTCTGGTAATAAAAAATGGAAGCGAGAGATTTATGTGTCTTGCAGGTAAAAGTATGGAATAATGTAATCTCAACATTTATGATTATAGGATGCCTTGAAACAGCCTGGCAGAAGACTGCTGAGGGAAAGCCGTGCCCATCCTCTCCATGTTGCCAATGCCAGTCGATTTTCCCTCAATTGGTTGTTGCTCTTCAATGATGCCCTTGTATTCGCTCAGGTAAATAGGTGCAATATGTTTATCAGAGGCCACGTTTGAATGATTTTTTTGTAAAGTATATGTGTGTGAACAAGTATATTTGTTTTTTACTTAGATGCATCAAGATCACAAATGGGGAGTAATACTGTATATCACTTTAATGAAATTTTATTATTATATTTTATGTAGTTGTTTCAGATGAAAGTTATATTGCTTAAACTCAAATATTTGGTTTAATTTTGCTTTGCATATGGTCAGACATGCAAACTAGAACTGTAACTTCTTATTGAAACCCTTTGATGTCTATTATAGTATTCCAGTCACCAAGCATTTCCTCTTGCGACAATCTGGCTAGAAGCAGTTTGTGATTCAGATACCATAAAGTAAGTAGGAAATATTATTTGGTAAATTAATTCTTCAATATCAAAAAGCAGGAACATTCTGTATAAATTGAATGTTTATATACAGTTTGATACTAGAAATTTATGATTAACTTAATTTGATTAATATTCTTCTCTTGGTGAAGCATGAAGAGAGAATTGATTAGTACTCTTACTTTAACTATTTTTCTTTTTCCTCTTGAAGGAATGCATTCACTTTGATAATGCCAGAAGAAAGTCTTACGGTATATGCACCATCAGCACAAGAAAAGGTAGGAATCTTTTTAGAATTTATTGTCATTTATGCCACTTAATAAGTCCCAGAACTCTTAAACACTAAATACCATGCATGCAGTTTATATCTTCGTGAGCAGAAAAAAAACTGGGGCAAAAAATCTGCATCTAAAGAGATGTTTTTGAATTAACTTATAGACTGAATGGCAGCAAGCATTTCACCAAGCAATAGAAGCTGTACTCTCAGACCGGAAATCGGGGTCAACATTCAGTCAGACATTACAGAGAAAGTCCACTGTTTCTGCTCGTAGCACTCTCCCACTCTCAAGATATGCCACTCATGTCTTTTACAAACCTGGACACCTCAAAGATGCCAAGTACATTGGGATGTGGCACGCAGGAAAGATGCATGGACAGTATGTAGCTTTATTTTAACATACATGATAGATTGACTGTATAGATATACTTTTTATAAAGTTTAGTTTTGTTTGGTTACATAATTTGTTGATATAAAAAAACTAGTTACAGTAAATGTCTTTTTGATTTATAACTTGTGTTTTGATTTGTATTTGATTTGTAAGCCAGCTGTTAATTGTATGAATTGATTTTTAGGGGTGAGATAACATGGTCAAATGGACAAAAATATGTTGGGAAATTAAAGAATGGAGTGCAGCATGGGTAAGAGTGTACACTTCGAATTGTCAAAAAGATGTGTTGATGTTGACATCCACTAACTTTACACTTGAGCACAGGGAGAGAGAGAGAGTGGTTGAGTTCTGACAGTTCAATAAACTTGTCAAGAAGATGCCTTTAAGGTGATAAACACCTGTTATTTTTCATATATTTAAATACACAGCACTTGCCCATCTGTTGTTGTTACTTGATTCCATTGTATGATATTGCTTGTATTCCTCTTCAGTCATGGTGTGTTGAGCATTCCCAAAGATGATAAGAGAAGAGAACTGCAAGATGGGAATTGGAAGGAGGGCAAACTAAATGGACTGGGATCTATAAAGTATTAAAACTCTACTTTTTGTTCAAACCGCTATGTACTAAGCCCTGCTGTTAATCACGTTCAGTTGGTACTGAAGATAACATTTTCAGTTGTTCAGATTATTCATGACAAAAACTTTAAAGTACTAATAAGCCTTTTTTATCGATATGTTATGTAAAGTTGTCAAATTTTTCAAAATCGCAAATCTTATATTATATTGTTTTTTTCCTAAGAAAAAAACCCTACTTCCCCTCTCCCTCTCATCTCATGAACATCAACATCAACATCTTTCCCTAATTCACCATAATGAATAGTTCACAAGATATCACGTCAGTGTCTTTTTCTTGCCAGATACGCCAGTGAAGATGTTTATGAAGGGTATTTCAAAGATGGACAGAGACATGGACATGGTGTTCTGAAGACAGGGAAACTGACCGCCAGCACTGCCAGTGTGTACATAGGAGAGTGGGCGGCAGATAAAAGATGCGGTTATGGGGTTTTTGATGACATTGTCAAAGGTATCTATACCTGATATTTGGTGTTATCTTTCTTGATGAAATATGTATTGATATGTAAGAAAACCAGATATTTGACAAGTACATTAATTATTGCTGACTTTTATTTCAAGAAAAAAGTATATTAACTATTGCTGTGATTTTTATTTCAGGAGAGAAGTACATGGGCATGTGGCATGATGATCTCTGTAGTGGCAGTGGAGTACTTGTTACTTTAGATGGACTTTATTATGAAGGCAACTGGATACAAAATAGGTTATCAGTAAGTGCATTTTTATAAGTCTTTATATCTTAAATACATTGCTTACATACATTGTTTGGTGTAATACTTTTTAAACTTTGTTTTGTAAGGTGGTAGATAGGCAGATCAACCCTCTTAATAGCATGTAATTTTGCATGCTTTTCAAAAACAGCATGAGGTATATCTTTTTTAATAAATTGAAAATTGCCTCAGAATTATGAAAATCAAGTAGGTGGAATGATGACCATTGTTACAGTTGGAATGAATTTTTAAATTGAGTGGCATGAACTGATTGTATTTGTCTTAATAGAAGATATGAATAAATGGACTTCATGTTTGTCCACAGGGTGTAGGCCTTATGATAACTGAAGACAACATCTGGTATGAGGGCGAATTCTATGGATCTTCTTTACTGTATGGGAAGGTAAGCATTTTATATCTCCATCCAGAGTCGTACAAGATTCATAAAGATATTAATGACAAACACAGGAGTATTTTATCCTGTATGTTTTAATAAAATTTCTACTTTTGTTACATTTTCTTGAAGAGAATCATAGTTATTTTTTAACAGACCTTCCCCATAAATAACTTATTTTTTCTCTGTTTGTTGGTATGGTATTTCTTTTTTCTGTTAATACAAAAAAGTTATAATGCAGAGCAAAAAATTAGTTGTTAAATGTAACAACTGTAAATGATATCTATATTTGCAATACACATTTCAATAATTTCTGTTGGGAAATGAGACCTAAATATATTTGATTTTCATTATTCAGGGCACCATGACCCTTCCAAATTCAGACAAGTTTGTGGGTAGTTTTAATGGTGCTTTCACTGATGGAGTAAAAATAAGTGGAAATTTCTACAAAGCCATTAATCTGGAAAGAAGAAGTGTTCAGCAACAACCCAGTGTATCAAACCCTGAGTAAGTAACAGATATTTTTGTAGCAAATAATTAAAAAAAAAAGAGATGGTGTATTGGGATCTGTCTTAAGATTTTTTAAGATAATTGTTCTTGATCACTGTGTATATGTGAACTGGTGCCTCAAAATTTGTTAGTTCCAAAGCCCATTTCCAACTTTTCTATTACAAGTTACTGTTGGTCACATCGTAAAAGAAGCAAAATAATCATAATTTCTGTTCCTCTCTCAGGTCATTTGGCAAGCACAGCGTCCCTGCAGACCAGAAGTGGAAACAGATCTTCAGTTTATGTGAATCTCTGCTTGGTGGTCCCACTGCCCCAGCAACCAAGGCCTGGGAGGCAGTGGCAGTCATGGTCAGTGCAGGCAAGAGGACAGTGAAGAAGGACAAAGCAAGGTAAATGACTAGTGAAATCATGCCAGGTGGTATTCGCTATATTTCAGCAGTTCTAGAATAGAAATGGCTGTGGCAGTTTTAGTCAAGGATCAAGAGTCATGAAGGTTGGATTCTATGTTAAAGGGCAAGCAAAGTCAATAACAGCAGAACCAGTGCAGTAGCAGTAATAAAGCTTTCATCAATCATGTAAGGCCTTTCAAAGCTATTTGACCTTGAGCCAAAAATTCCCTGTAACTTAAATATTCCCAGTCTTTGGCTTTTGTCATAAAGCATATGTGTACATGTTTCAACCAATTCTGATTATAATCTTGCATCTTTTATGAAGGCTACACACCTTTTTGTTTCCATATTTATTCATTAAATGAAAACATTGATTTTCCTCCTCTGGATGTTATTATGGGTATTGCACCTTATTGTAATGAATATAAGGATGATTTATTAAATGATTACAACTTATATTTATTTATTTTTTTGCTTTGTCATGGGCGCAATACATCAAAATAATGTTAGAATTACCTGAATTTTTTGTGAGTTATAGTGCTATCATCTGAATCATTTTCAATATTAGGTATAAAATATTTTTGAATGCAAAATAAATTCTAGAAATGCATGAAATTTTGAAAATAAACTGTTTCACAATTCTTAAGCCTTTTGAAATTGCAAAGGGGCAGAAGCTCTTACCTACCAATGACATGTACAACATCTGAAGGTCAAACATTCACAGTTGCATTCCATGATATTATCTAATTGCTGTTTAGGTCTTCAGCACTATTACATAACAGAATTAACAGAAACACAATAACAGCCCTTGTCTTTTTAACTTGCTTGCACTAAAGGATCTAATAGAAACTAACAATAACCATTGCATAAGTGAAACCTGGTAAATTCAGTGAAATTATTAATGTCGAACCAGCATCATTTTATCTGCCAGTGACTCATTACTGTAAACTGGTTTATATCATGCAGTGGATATATCTTACTTCATTGCTTATATGCTTATCATCCCTAGATGTTAATGGCTCAGTTAATTAATGACACAGAAAGTTATCTCATTGCTTGGTTTTGACCTATGAGGCTGTATATTTGTCATGGATACAAAAGAAAATACCATGCAGAAGGACTGCAAATATTCTGTATAAGGTCTAACTTTTGCATAATGTATGATTTGTTTTGGTTTGACAGTGTGCACATTTTTGATGTCTTGAAGAATCTTTCAGATACAGAAGTGGTAGTTCAGATGACTTAGAAAAGATTCCTCCCTACAACAGAGGAACAATGACTATTGACTATTATAAGCAAATTCAGGAATATCTGCGTAAGGTACGTGTGATACAACAAATGTTCAAGATGGCAAGTGTGTCACAATGTATATATATCCGAAAGCACTTAAGTTGACCTGCATGGCCCAATACTAATTTGTGTCATGCATCTTATTCTTCAATATTTCAGGTTATGCCCTATTTGGACTATTTAGATATTTTGCTTAAAAAAAAAACAATAAAACAAGCAAATAAACAAAGGAAAACAGACTTTGTTAATAATTAAGTAGCATAATAAGTATGAAGCTACCAGCAGGGATATACTACATAGAATCATATTGCAATGATTTTGTTTTGTTTTTTATATTGTATAAAGCAAATTTTGAACCTTTCTTTCTTTTTTTTAAATTTCTAATATGTTTATGCTGCTGAGAAAATGTGCTTGGCTGTAGGTAAAACCTAACTGTTCACATACAAAAACAGTCCGAGTGATAATGTTAAAAAAAATGGGTTTGCTTCTTTATATAGCAGTAAGCAACATACATATGCAGCTTATAGACGATGACTAGAAATAATGTATCAAGAAGTTTAAAAATGTAATTTATATAGTATTTTATTAAATGGAAACAAAAGGAAAAGCACTGAAAGAGGACTTGATTAAAAAACAATGATTGACATTGATTAGTTATTTTCAAAGCGCTTGCTTATAATTTATTAAAAGTTGTCCTTATGTTAACTCGATGATAGTACCTTTACCTGTTTTAAGTCTGTAAGTCAAATAACATAGTTTTGCAGGTATCATTAGGTAAAATGTAAGATGATATGATAGAAAACAAATTTAAGTGCGGTATATACATATAATATACACATAATGAAATAAACCTCATAATTATAGATTAGCAAATGAAGTGAACTACTTACAAAGTTTCTGCAGACAAATACTAGTGACAAAATCTATTGTTGGATCAGGCACATATGCTTCATTTGTGTATAAAAATATACTTGAAATAAATAATCCTCAAAGGTATGTTAATATGCAGCTTTTACATTTGCTGATATTCTTTTTTTTTGTCTCTGCAAGGCATTTGAAGTATGCTTCCATCCCCTGGGCAAGCTGATGGAGGGTCTGGTGGACGTGTTCCGTGCCACATATGTAGGGGTGGGAGCACATTCCAGGCTGCTGCACCATGCCAGGGATGAGGTGAACTCCTTTGTGAAAAGAACCTACAACATCATAAGGTTTGTGGTGTCAAGTTATCGTTGAAAGCAAAACAACAACATGCTTTCAGTTTAGGTTTTTAAGTGGTGAAGATTGCAGTGCCATTTTGATGAAGTAGCCTAGGTCTTAAAACATTTCTTAAAAATTGTGTACTGGAGGTGGCCACATGAGAATAAAATCGGTTTCCTCTATTGAAATACTTCATTGTGAAGGTCTCTTCCTCAAAAGTTGTGTTTCTTATCTAAAATTTTATTATTTCCAGAATGCTGTTTCCTGATCTACCATCTTCATCAAGACCTATGTATATTCACCATACTGACTGTCCCAGTCCTGTTAGTGAGGAGGAAGATGACAAAGGGTGAGGTAGTCTGTATGCAGCACTGTCCTGGCAGAACCAACAGTGTTGGGACAAAAGAAATACAGAATTTGAAATAATTTTGCTTCAAATGCAAAAAGAAAAAGAAAGAAAAAAACATCTTATGAATAAATTGTAGTCACACAGGTTGGATACAAATTCTAGTAAATCAACAGTAATCTGTCCTTACCCTGCTTGTGTTAAAACCCATACCCATCAAATTACTTTTTCTGATTAGCCCAACCATACTGTCTTTTTTAAAACATGCCAGTGACTTTTGATCAAAATCCATCCATGCAATATATGATATAATAATGATATTGATGTCTTCTCATTCTGAACACCAGTGAGGTGATAACACCCAGCAGTCTTCTCCACCCCTTACTTCTGCCAAAGATCTACCCTCCTCTCTTCACTCTGTACGCCCTCCACAATGAGAAGGAGGATGAGAAGTACTGGGATAGGCTGCAGAGGTTCAACAAGCAAGGAGATGTGGCTCTACTGGCATATCTGGGAGTAGACCAGTGAGTATAGGATGGAAAAGTGGAAAGGATAATTATATTAATCTGATAGCAAAAAGGCAAATATGTATGTATGTATGTATTAGCAATACTCAAAATATGTAAAAATGTGCCTCAACTAAATACACTTGTGATATAACATTATATAAAACAATGTATGGCAAATGGATTAATTTTCATAGGGAATTATGAGAGTGTACCTATTAATTTGATAAGCTTGGCAGAAAATTTGCTTACAGTTTTTCAATCCTGATTTTATAGTTATAGAATAATTATTCTATAGTCAAACATCAAATGATTGTGAATTAATTGTTCACCTCTGCAACCAATATTTTTTTATTCTGTCAAATACATGTCATTTTCTAATTTTACAGAAAGTTCTGGCTGATTGATGAATCCTTGCTGTTAGAGAAAAGACAGGTACATATTTGTCTTTCAACAGTTTATACCTGTTATAATGTCAATACTTTTTTTCTTGCACCAATTAAACTTTTTGTGCTGAGTTGTTTGTAAATAATAACTTTTGTTGACCCATTGCAACATAATATTTAGGATGATGAGTCTTGTTGAATTCTTGTTGAATATTTGATATATATTTTTTATCCCCATGGCCATAACATTTAATACAGGCAACACTGTTACATTGTTAAAATGATTAAGTTAGTAGGGTTATATAATAAAAGCATTATTCGGCCAAATCTTGAACAACCAATATGCTTGTTGCCTTCTTTCTTGGTGTGAATGGGACTATGAAGGTTTGTGGTAAACTGGGGTTTACTGGGAGACACAAAAACTTTAGATCATTTTTTANATATTTAGAATATTATAGTAAGTTGTTTGTTATATTTTACAGAAATTACAGTCCATAAAAGATAAATGTTACTCTGAAGCTGTGGAGACACTTCAACAAATAAGGTGAGGTCAAACCAAATTTAAAGGCAAGCAGTTTAAAGGCAACACTTATTTTGTATCAACAAGGGTATTGACACTTTTTGAATAGTTGACAATTTCACATTAATGCTAGTTTTCTTCATTTCCAAAAAGGAAATACATTTGTAACAGGCTGATAGCTCTGAGTTGATATTGCTTTATTATTATACAAATATCTGCAAGAGCACTAGAACAACTACATGTATTTCAATTGTTTCAGCCTGCAACTCCGTCTGACTTTCAGGTGCAAATCAAAATTTATGGGGCGCGGTCTTCCAACCCTTGACCTCCACGTACGCAAACGAACATCCACGACACACACCGCACACAATCACAACAAACACAACATATTACGGGCTCAAACCTTACATTCTCCCCTACCCCCAAAATGGGTTCCACCATTAAAAAAACAAGGACATCATACTTTGCTTTATATTTATTATGCTATAGTTTTTATTTCTATTTACAATATCCAATCTTGATTATTCATCCATGCTGGCCTGTTCCTAGTTCTTGTGGGTCGTACCTCGCTTAGTTTTTTATTTTGTTGTTCATTCTGTTTTTCTTCTTCTTCCTGGTGCATTTCAAAGATAGGAAGTAACATGTTTCGATGTAGTGTCTTTGATTTTCCTGCACCATCTTCTCTTTTCACTACATACACTGGAATACCATCATTCAACTGTTCTGCTACAACAAACACTTCACCCTGCCATCTTTTGGCAATCTTGTGTTTGCCATCGAATGCGACATTCCGAACTAAAACACGGTCACCTATTGACAAAACACCTGCCCCTGTTTTTCTGTCAAAATTTTGCTTTTGTCTAGATTACGCCCTCTCTATTTGAACTTTTGCCATGTTGAAAGCTTCTCGCAATTGTTTTTTTAATTTGCGTATGTACTCAGTCTGAGATTTACTGGCTCTCTCTGTGGAAACATCCAATGCTACATCAACGGGTAACTTGGGGTGCCTACCAAACATCAGGTAGTATGGTGAAAATGACGTGGAACTGTTACGCGTACAGTTGTATGCATGAACCAGAGAAGCAATGTGTTTTTTCCAATTTAACTTTCGATTTAGCAATAATGTGCCTAACATATCAAGTAGGGTCCTATTCATGCGTTTACATTGCCCATTTCCCATAGCGTGATATGGCGTTGTTCTCAACTTCTTTATACCTGCTATGGAACACAAATCTGCTATCACTTTTCCTTCAAAGTTGCGTCTATGTTTGGGCACCAAATGTAACAGGCCAATAGCTCTGGGTTGATATTGCTTTATTATTATACAAATATCTGCAAGAGCACTAGAACAACTATTTCAATTATTCCTGCCTGCAACTCCATCTGACTTTCAGGTGCAAATCAAAATTTATGGGGCGCGGTCTTCCAACCTGTGACCTCCACATACGCAAACGAACATCAACGACATGCACCGAACACAATCACAACAAACACAACATATTACAGGCTCAAACCTTACACAGTGATAGCCTGCAACTGAACTTTTGTTACTATTTCAGCACCAGTTTTGGTCCAGCTGACAAGCTGGATGTGATAAAGAAAACTTTTGATGAGGTCAATAAGGTAATCGTAATAATGCTAAAATTGTTTTTTACTATTTTAACTTACAATATATTTTGTTACATAATCAATTTTGTGTGTAAGTTTTTTTAATGTTCTCACAAAAAACAAAAACAAACAAACAAACAAAAACAATGCTCAGGTAATTTTACCAACCCAAAATTTTTGTACATGTCTAAACATATTTCAAACCAGTTGTGAGTGATTACCGTACACATATATGTAAATATATATATATATTATTTCTAGGCTGTCCAGAACAATCTTGGTTGTGAATACATGTGGTGCATGGATGATCTATTCCCAGTGTTCATGTATGTGGTGGTGAGGGCACGCATACGCCATCTAGGGGCAGAGATCCACTTTGTGGATGATCTAATGGAAGGTCACCTAGAGCATGGGGAGCTGGGACTCATGTTCACCACACTCAGGGTAGGGCATGAAAAAAGAATACTTTCAGTGGACGTGAATTTGATAATTATTTATTATCTTGTATTAGACTTGATCAATTTTTTTTTCACTATTGAACACTACAACTTGAATTGAAAGTTTCTAGTTTTACATTGAATTAAACAAAAATTTTCTCTGCACTGACATGGTAGTCTTTAGATACCTTATACATTGATGTAATTTATGTTTCTCTTTTTGTAGGCATGTTATTTCCAAATCCAACACGAGAAGATGAACTAATTTAAATTGAGAACATTATTATTTAAAGTATCTGTGATATCCATACAATAAAACAAAGGAGAGGAAAGAACTGAAATAGGCAATGAAGGTGTGAATATTAAGTTAGCAATAAATTAAATACACAAGTCTGGTATATATAAATGTGGAATTGTTTTCTCTTCTTTGTATGTCAGATTCCTTGAATTAAAAGGAAATCAAATATTTATAAGGTTTTTGTGACACATTCAGTTAAACTAGTGGAGATTAAAGGTAAATGTGAAGTGATATACTTTATAATGAAATGTCTAATTTATTTGTTGGTCAGTGGGCATACAGGTAATATAGCTTATCAAATGTAAATATTTACTGGAGTGTTATCTATACATTGGAAGAATTGGACTGTTAATTGCTACAGGGTATGATTAGGATTGAATGAATCTTAAGGAAACTTGGATATTATTATAGGCAAAACCATGTTTTCGTGTTGCGTTGTAAATTGCAATCACAGCCATTTTATATTTTAAAACGCTTTTGTGTTAGCTACTTAGCACTTTTGTTTCCGGATTTATTTGAAAACTGGTTCTTGATGGCTGATCAACCCACACTTTGAAAGTGAAAAAGCATTTTTAAGTCAAGCTCTTTTGTTAATTAGACAAAAAGATTTTGCTTTGAAATAAGGACTTTGAACAACTTTGAAACTTGAACAACATGCCATTCATTAAGTCTGAAAGGTGAATCAAAGTTGTTTTTCGGAGAACTGTGTTTAAAAACAATTTAACATGTTTAATCTACATTTTTATAGTGTATTTTTGTTGATATATATTTTTGTTGAAGTAAAATTATAAGCACAAAAACTAGTGCTGATAAACACACAGTTAATTATTTGCTCTGAAGTGAGTTGTTGGTTAGTAGTCATCAAGTAATTATGCCAACTGTAACATTGCAAGAGTCATTTTCTTGAATTCATTTAAGTTGTTAATGAATTGTCTCAAAATTATGTTAAGTGTCTTTTACTCTGGAGGCTAGTTTTTTTACCAGCCATTCTGGTAAGTTTTGTGAGATCTTGTAGCATCCTCCAAATTTTGTTAAAATTTTTTAATATTTCAGGTTAGATTTCTAACTGTAAATGATATTCAGACAGTTAAAACAAAGAAAGCAATTTATAAATGCACAAATTTTTCAGTGTTTAATTAAAAATAAATTTGGAGTTACTTGGCCTGGAATGTTCAATACATAATGTGTTATTGTTGGTTCCTGGTAGGTTTTGGCAGAGGCTAAATTAATAGAGCATGAGTATAAAGTTAATCATATCATTTATTCAAAAGGAACTGGTGCTTTCTTGTCAAGTTAACTCTGCACATAAGTATAATACAATTCAGTATTCCTTGATTATCTTAATAATTTTTTATTCCATTGCTCAAAATAAATATAAGGATGAGGTCAAATGAAATCATGTCATGAAATGTCATGGCTTGTGAGGACCCTTGTTGGAAAAATATTCTGGAGAAAACGTCCATAGGCTCCATTTCACCCTAAAAGCAGAAGAATTACATACCATCTTTGGCTTTGTTTGGAATTGAATGTTTGGTAGAAAGTAAGAATGGAGCATGGAATATAAAAGGGGACAGTTCCTTGCCATAGATGTGCAATATAATGCGTGTAAATTTGGTAGAAATGCTGGTGCTTAACATAGTATCATCTCCATATATACTTGTCAGTGTAGGCATGTTAATATATTTTTCTGAATAAAACTTGCTGTTATCATGCTGTGCCTGTTCTTTCACTTCATTAAATATAACAACAAGGACACATTCACTTAACTTAATGGTAATTTATTCTAAACAACCATTTACCAATACAACGTGATAAACACAAACTTTGACAAGTCTCACCTTAGCTTTATTCAATTTCTATAAAAATTAATGAAGCCAAGGGAATGTTAAGATGTAATAATGCATCAAAAGAATGAAGAAAAACAGTTTCATGTTGTTTCCAAAATTACAGCAATGGTTTTACTTTACTTGCACCGATTTGAACTATTTTGAAATTATATTTTTTAATTATATTGTTAAAACAGCCTACATGTAAAATACATTATTATCTGCTCTATCATGAAAATGAAGAGAATAATTTCATGTTACAATATTACAACAATAATTTCATCTCATTTGCACCGTTCTTAAGTATAATATTGAATGAATATTTTATAGTATACATAAATGATACATTACTATGTAAAATTTAGTATACCAACTACCGGGGGTAACAATCTTAAATAAACTCTCTAAAGAGAATGAGAGGCACAAATAAAACTGGATTATGCACCTACTCAAAACTCGACAGAATGCACCTTTTCTTTAAACCTCTTTGATCTCCCTTTAATGGTTTACATTAGGAAGAACTCTAAATGCTGCTACTTCCAACAGACTTTTGCTCTAGGAAAAGAGACTTGTAAGCACTTTCCTGTTCATCAACAATTTCTCTGAAAAGATGGGATTCTTGTTATTAGAAACTTCGTGGGATCATGGTTTTGATCAATTTTGTTGGTCAAAAAATATTCAAGTTGTTAAGAAAAAAAATGTCAACAAATTATTCCTGTTCAATTGTGAGTAATTTGTCAATTGCTGAGAGTCAAAAACAAATATTTTTTGTAGATCCAGTTACTGTCAATAAGCAATAACTTACTTGCTCATGTAGAAGAATATGTACCCAGTTGTTGCCCTGTCTGTGCGTACCCTTCTCTCTGAGACCTTGGCGACCTCTATATCATCATAACTATACCAGCTTTTCTTTTGAAGATCATACACATCACTGTTATAGTGACCTGAAAATACGACAGTCAACTTTTAAGTATTTGTTCTTAATACATACATGATACATAATATTTAATATTGATAATGCATATTACAGAGAGTCATCAATCAATTTTGGACTGAAAATGAGGTTTCTAAATAACAATCACTTACGTCTATATTTCAAGCAAGATTTATCATGGGTAATAACAAAAATTCAAGCAGTACTAATGAATCTTGTTTCAAAACCATAAATAACATACCAAAGGAAGAGTTACTGCCTAGATGGTTGACAATGCTCATTAATCTGTAAGAGTAGGGCATGTCTCCCTGCTGAAATAACAATTATACAGGTTTGGTAGATTTATTATCCTCTTTCAATAAACAACAATCACTTATAACTTAATAATGGCACACACTGTAGAAGTTGTGTTCAAAATCTGATAACCTTAAACCTTCAACAGTGCAGTTTTTTATGAGAAATTTTCTGCTGTTCCCTCTATACAAGTTTTCTTGAAATTTGCTTTGGGCTTTGCCTTATACCCAGAGAAACAGAAAAAAACTATAATGCTGAAAATATGATTGTCCTTGATTACCTCCATGTTATGTTTCAGTTTCTCTTGATACCATTTATCATCACTGTCTGAAGTCGACTCGTTTTCAATATCCTCCTCGTCTGTGTCATAGTTAACCATAACACCATCTGGGTAGGCGTCTGAGAAGACATTGTACTTTTTTATTATTCTTTTTTTTTTTTTGAAAAATACATTATTAAATAATACATTGATATGTTCTCACTAAAATTCTTCCTTTGTATGCTTTTTGTTTCTTATGTTCAATCTCCCTTTTCATATTTTATTCTCAATCCAAACAAACACTCATGCAGCTATTCAAAAAGCTTATACCTTTCAAGCTAAGCTCCATGGCTTTTCTTAACTGTTCGTCCTCCAAATCTTTATCAAAATCCCTTGGCTGAAAAAAAAAGGAAAAATGTTTTATAAGGAATTACCACAAATAGTCAAGAATATGGTGTAATTAGCAAACTGAAGAATTCTGTCTACCATAGCAATCTGAATTAGATATTTCTATACTTGTGAACATTTAATCACATTTCGCCATCTAGCACTGTTCTACCTGTTCTTTCATGTCTTCAATACTTTTTTTAATAGCCTCTTTCATTGCTTCATCTTCTTGCATTCTTTGGTGATCCCTTATCCAATCGGGGTCCTTGGATTCATTGTGGGATTCTTTTTCTACAAAATCAACATCAAAATAGTTAAAGAGCATTTTGGTTTTCATTAGAGGCAATACTAATAAAAATTTTAAAATGATAAGATATAATACAAGACTGCAAAATGCATGTAAAAAGCTTAGTAGTTTAAGCAGATTGTGAACATTATGCAAACAGTGCAATATAAATAATACGACATATTAAATAAGTTTGATCTTAACAAAATAGCACTTATTCATACCTTTTGTTTCAGTGACAGGAGGTTTCTTTTCTACTGAGCGCTTTAAATTTTTCAGTGAGTAAGTTTGAGTTGTCATCTTTAAAGGTGTGGAAGACGTGAAGTCAATTTCATGTTCACTGCTGCTTTTAGCCGTATCACTGCTAATAATTATTTCTGGTGGCAGATCATGAACTACTGCCTCACTTTTTCTCTTAGAGTTAGGTACTTGGACATCTTGTTTTTCCTGCTGCCTGGTATCAATTTGATTATCATAATAATCAAGAACACTTTCCTTTGAACCACCTTTTAACTGAAAGGGATTTTCTGTATTTGATACATCATCAAATGCCACATTGTCCATGTCAATGTTATTATGCTCAGATATAAGCTGTAAAGTGCTTCCAGTTTCTGGATCCTGGGAGTTTTTCAAATCCTCTGCCTCTTGTAAACTCATTTCCAGCGCTGCTTGGAGCTGGTCCTCTTCACTCAGGCTTTCAATGTTACTGCTTTCTACTGAAATAACCATTTAATATTAATAAAATTTACAGCAATTTCAATAATGTCAATAATGAAGATGACAGCATCTCCTTAAGGATAAAAGCAAACTTGTACACTTTATCACCCATTCTTTACTTGAAACAGTGACAAGGCTGTCTTTATTCTGAAAGAAAGACGGTTTTGTGCATATTACTGCAAGAAAATCTTCCTTACAATTCGGCTATCTTTGAAACTGAGCCTGGAAAGTCAGAACAACTCAGTTTCCTACCTTTATAATCTACCAAGCATTCCTACAATAAACATATTTGATGTATTACTTACTAATAAACTGACTTTCATGTCTGTCCAGTTCACTGCTCATCTGTTTTTCAGCTTCACTGCCTAGATCAAGAGGCAAAGCCTCAGCTGTCTTCTGCAACATAACAATTTCATTCCCAAAGTTTAACAGCAAAAAGATATATGTTATCAAAATAAAAAAAAAAACATATGGCTTCATCAGAAAAAATAGAGACAAAACAAAGTTAGTCCACCTGTCCCACTAATATTTTAAGTTTCTGAAAGTTTTCTTGCAACTTTATTCATTTTGTATATAGATAAAAATAATTTTAATTTTAAAAAATGAATAACTGATAATCTTATGCAACTAAAAAGTGTTTTTGAGACATTATTAAGTTTTTTCTAATCTAAATATGTTGCACATACTTCTGCTTTACCAAGACTGAGCTGAATTGCTCTGTCAAGTTCTTCAGCTTCATTAGCACTGGGACCTTTCACATTCTCCATTTTGCTCAGCTCAATTGCCTAAAACATAAAATCATCAATAAGGTATAATTAACTCTAATGCTTTTAGAATGTATTACAGTAACTGTTTTATGGATTCAGAGAAAGGCATCACACATTTTTTTTTACCTTTTTAAGTTCCATATCCTCTTTTGAAGTCTCATGTTTGCTGAGTTCCAAAACTTTTTGCACAGAGTCGTTGTCTGAATCAGAGGCTGGAGGCCGTATACGTTGGAATTTATACTTCTTCTCACTACAACAACAAACAAAAGCAAAATAATAAAACAAAAGTTTAAAAAATGTTTTGCATACTGTATACAAATCAAGTTTACAGACAAGTTTTGTGTGTATTTTTAGTTTAAATCGTGACTCTCAATATTACCATACACTAAAATTAAAACACTAAATGTAATGTACACAGAGATACCCATAGCATAGCTGTCCTGTATCTGGGGACTCTGCATATAATATTTCCAATAATCTAAAGCCCACTATGCTTAAACTATCCTGTCTTTTACAGTAAACATCCTCTTTTTGTGTTATTAAATATAAGTTTTTGTCAATCATTTTGCATGAAATTATTATTTTGGACCTTAACTAACTTAATAAAAATAGGATAAATCTAGCATGAAGTTAACTGAAAGCCATGATGCCAGTAACTTTTGTCTACTACCTGCTAAGTACTGGGTAGTCTAGGCGGCGTCGGGGGGTGTCAGTAATAGTTTGGTTTTGATTTTCCAGGGAAATCTCATCCAAAGCAGTTTTTCTTGGACTGAAAAAAATTAACAATTGGGTATACAGACAGTCGATCTAAGCATCAATAAAATTACATTTGGTATCCATACAATTACACTTGGCTTATTAACTTAAGTGAGCTTACCAAATTTAGTAAAAAAATTGATTTATTTCTAACAATAAACATTACAAATTACTGTGTATCCCTTTTGCAGTTTTACCAATGCTATCAATCTGGTTGTGAATTTGAGCAAAGTGCAAAAACAATTTTGTCCCAATGTTAACATGATTGCCTTGTAATAACCTTTCTCACCTTTGTATTGCAGATGGCACTGCAGCTGGGTATGGTGGTGTGGTTTCTTCTAAACAATGCTTCTGTAGTGTTAAAAATTTAGGAATCCCTACACTGCGCCCAGATTTGGCCTGCATGGAATTACCAACATGGAAGTGATACCTCTTCAGGTGCAAGATTATTATTCTACAAAATAAAATGAAAAAAATCTCAGATGGGATATTCTGATTAATGGTTGAAACCAGAGAATAAAAAATTATAACACAATGATAATTTTGTTAAAAAAGAACAAACATAAGAATTATGACCAACATAAAATTTTTTAATTAAACTCAATTGTTCAATTGTGTTACATGGAGAATTTTATATGACAAATTTCAAATTGGTTTATGCTAAAACATTCTAGCATTGAATAATTTCATAGCAAATCTGACTAATTAAATATACATAACAAAGAAGCAACATTTCCTACCTTGGCAACTTTGTAAACTTATGTGTAACCTGAGCCTTTGAGGCTCCACATTTTTCACATTTATATTCCAAGAATTCTCTCCTGAAGAACTGATCTAAGGAATCTTGGATTGTTGGTGGAGATTCCTGGTCTTTCCTGAAAAAAGCACAAATTATCATGAATTTGAGATATTTTTTCAATGTAATTTTTAAAAAATCAGAACATACTACAAAATCTGACGATGTAATCAGGGATGAGACCTTTTGGCTCCCAAAAAGTTGGCAATTCACCAACGTGGGAAAAATCTCACTATGGTTGTAAGCACCAACACCACCCAAAAAGTCAGAAATCCACCAAATGTTAGGAAAATGTCATCCCTGGGTAAAACCAACACAATTGATCAGAATTTACAAAACATTAAAAAGAGCTTGTTTACCTTCTTTTGGGCATGTCTAAAGACAGGTCATTGAATTGCTCGGCTTTGGAGACTTCTTCTTTGCATCTTTAATGAAAAATTGAAACATATATTATTTGTAAAGATTCAATATTATAAATCATGCAAAAAAATTACACAGCAAATTGACAACAAATGTCACTCTTGTTAACATTTGCTAAAATAGCAAGCTTGATTCAAGTTTAGTGAAATCTATACAATGTTAGATTAGTGGATATTACTGGCACTTACTCTTGGCACTGGATAGTATGAAGAACTTCAAATTCAAAGTTCTGCACTGTTGGGTTGACTATGGACGACTGCATGAACATATTTTTATCTTTTGGGTCAGGACTGGGGGTGGCTGCATTGGCTTTAATCACCTCTTCCTTTAACTGGTCTATAACTTGACATAAAAATTCATGTGCATCCTAGGGACAGGAAAATAATAATCATAAATGAATAATACTGCATATTTTACCCTCTAGGTCTGTCAAAAAAAGTTATTTAAGGTCGATTTCTGATACCAACAACAATACTGCTTTTAATGTACCAAATATTCCAACTACTTCTCAAAAGACTATCTTAATAAATAATTACATGTTGCTCATTTCCTGAGAATCTTTTTGCAGAACTTGAAATGGCCTGTTTCACATTTCTAAGGAGTTCTCTTTTTTTCTCCGGAGATTTTCCTTGTCTTTTCTTGGCAAGAAGCAGTCTGTACAAGGCCCTGTTGGAAAAGAATAGCACAGTTATGCTTGGGAAAACCTGTATACTATACTCTTTGTCATACTAATCAAAAGTATATAAAACATTTTACAATTGCACTTAGTAATAAAAGTATAATCCTGTCAGATACAATAACAACGAGAAACTGACTATAGGAATAAATTACAAACAGCGCTGTTCAAACCAAACACATACAAATATAATGATGGAGGATCCTTGTTCATCATCTTGAAAAAGACTGACTTGGTTTTCAGCAGGTCTGCAGCAAAAGGCTCCAAGCCATACAAGGACTGCAATATGGCATTCATGTAGCATGTGTTACCAAGGTTGGAGAACCTAATTGAAACAAAAATATCACTACATGAGGATTTTCAGTTATTTACAGATCCAAATATTATTATTGCTTCATAGAGCAACGTAGCCTTACACTACTTAATATGGCAAATTTCAACTGTATTTTTCAAAAAATTTTATATGGACACCATTACTAATAATATAGAAACCGATCTTTCAAATGGCAACAAATAATATTACCCTTGTAATTCTGACTGTTGTTTGTTGACTGCCTGTAGACTTGGCTTACTGGATTTCCAGGTATAAGACAAGGCATCATCAGCAAGCCTGGACCGTTTAGCAGGGTGAGGATCACTGAGGAATCCTGGGTTACGTTTATTGATGCGAGTCCTGGAAATAACATGATTGAAAAGCAGTGCAATTTCTAAAACAAGTAAGAGCTAATCAGGACTCAGGTATGTATTTGTCAAATAGATAATGTTTGTACATTTCTGCTCTGGAGACTTTTCGTAACAGCTTATTCACAACGAAGTATTATTTCTTTTAGAATTACTTTTTATCTTAACCCCAATGCCCAAGTACACGAAACACATTTTTAAAAATCTGCAAAGAAATTATGATAAGACTGTGTACATAGCTATTCTTTGACATTGACTAAATAAAGCAAAAGCAGAAAGTATGTAGCAAATCATTTCATTGTCACTGGATAAGGATGTTCCTGCCCAAATACCTTTTTGTAAATCAATAAAACAATACCTCTCTCTCTCCCTCTCTCTGTCTTCATCACCCAACACATACCTATATGCAAACCCTCCATACTCTCTAGGTGTAGAGAGCCCAGCACCATAGAACTGCTTGGCAGTTGTGGCTCGAAGACTTTCCTGGGATTTCTCCTGGCCTCGTTCCAAGAAGCTCCTTGATGAACCACTTCTACTTGGAGTTTGACTGAGAAAGGATGGCATTATAGATAAATTTTGTAATAGAATAACTATACAGGTATATAGAAATTGGTATCGATTTTTGCAGAGCACATTCATAGGCATATTAATAAAGTTAACTGTTTTTCTCAATCACTGCATATATTTTTGTAGCTCTTCTGTTATAATACATACAGGGATATTAGCGTTTATCTTCCTTTTTAAACACCAATACAGTATGGGCCATAAAAATGGTTCACTTACTTCCCACTGGTTATGTTTTCCTTATTTTCTTTGTCCTCCTTCTCTTCATCAAATTCTAAATCTTCACCACTGGAGATGTCAAATATTATATGCTTTCCTTTGGGAACCCTTAAAATCACAGTTCATATCAGTCTATAAATTAACTTTCAAATTCTATGTATTTGTTAACATTATCAAAACATTTCTTAAAATGTGGACAAAAATGAACATCCTTCTCACAGCAAGAAATTTATCAACATATTTCCAATAGCACTTCGGCCATCACTTAATTTTTACTATACTGTGACAGGAAGTTTGGATGGAAACTAAACTAAACCAGATAGAGCCAAATGGACATCCCAGACAACATGATAACATATAGACCCCCATCATTCAATAGGGTATTCAATTACAGTCTTGTCTTGCAAAGTTATTTAGGCCCCACGAGGAATAAACTCGTTAAAACCCCTTTTACCCTGGACTGTGTCTTTTGTGCAACCATGAAACTGGCATTGCTGTGATCTTAGAAAAGAGGCACAAGCATCTCTTTGGTTGCAAAATGAATGCTCAATAATTGGCCAGTTGTCAGCACATAATTTTTTTTAACTCTCAAATGGATTCGTACTAAGGAATGCAGCAAGGATGCCATCCAGTGTAAAGGGGGCTTAAGTCTGAGGACTGAGCACACTCTTTAAAGATTCTTCGTTGACTGACTGATTTGTATTAAACATCTTAATAATTACCTGGACTCCTGCTTAAGTTTCTCAGATACAGGTGTCCTGGCAGGTGTGGCAACCTGGTGTGGTGTTGGCCTGTACAATGAGGGTTGCACTGGGGAGCTTATTACTGTGGTATTAGGTCTGGAGGTATCTACATGTCCTGGAGAACAACAACAGAAATTAGCTAGAATTAAGTAATAAAAAATGATGAATTAAACTTCAAACCAATATTAGACATCAGAGAGGGCTAGAAGTAAGTACTCAGTAACAATTTATGAATTAACATCTATATCAGAAAATTCGTAAATAATGTGAAAAATAATTAAGCTTATTTCTAACCTACTAATGTGATCTGTAAAAGTCAACTTGTGCAAATATACATTTACATATATCTATCATATTTAAGCAATATTTATATACCTATATCATTTATATCTATAAGATCAAAATATTGAAAAGATTTGGATATGCAGACCTCATAATTTCACAACCTTACATTCATCAATTTAAAAGTTTATTTCCAATATAAAAACATTACCTTTCAATGGAAGGTCACCTGCTCGGAGTTTATTCAGTAAATCTGCCAGGTATTTTTTCTGACTTGGTTCCATACCCTGGATATGAATGCTTTTTAGAACTATTGTTTAACTGGATGATTATGCGACTTTTGTTTACCACATTTTTAACTGTTTCTTTGTTTAACTGAAACATGAAATGAAAAATATAAATTACTGAGTTATCTTCTAAACTGATAAACATTTAAAGGGTGGCTGTGTTTTGAAATGCTAAATTATTTTATATAAGGCTGGGTTAGCGCTAGCAATTTTTTTCACTTAGCCAAATCACCACATTTTTGTCAATTTGTTATCAAAGTGGTTATAATTTGGCTAAAACATGTCAAATAAAGCCCTTTTTCTTCAGCCAATTTAAGTCAGTTTTAGCATTTGGCTAAATTGGCGAGTGTTAGCGCTACCCCAGTAAGGTAATTCAATCAAAGTTACCTTTAATGCACCTATAAACCATCGCAAGAATTATTAACTTTATATCACACATCTGAAACTAGATGACCAGATTTATAAACCAGTAATTTTAAAGCCGAAAGGGTGAGGAGAAGGGGTGCATACAGGTTTCCTGAAACTAGTCTTCTATTATGAGAGTTACATGTAGTCTGATTTCTAGTCAGAACCTCTCTTTTGTTGAAAAAACTTTATATATATCAGTAGCTTCTTAGGCAAACATTTACCAAGTAACTTCCATCAGTGGACCCAACCGCATATTTCACGGTGCACCTATAACCACCTCTTTCCTGCTGCATTACAAGCTCCCCAGTCTTCCAACAGGTGCTTGTGCCGCCCATGCCTAGTCCCATGCAGCGAATGTTTCCAGGAAAATGCAACGGGCCCTCATCCATCGTGGCTGAACATTGAATAAAACGTAAGAATAAATCAGGGCTTTAATAAACACGACCAGTCTTTGACGAGATCATACTCCAACAAGACCATACTCATATAATCAGCAATTTAAAAATTATTATAGTACCCTTCCGACTCAAAAGAATATAAAATACGGCCAACAGAATTAATATCATCACACATTTATTTTATTTCATTTTACCCCTTTTTCCAAGTACATTATCTAATACTAGTGATATTGTTTGACGGTTTCAGGAAAGGTTAACTATTTTAACTAAGAACTGAGCTGAAAAACGAAAATCTTACCAGACAATAATCACTTACGATGTATCTCTTTGCCAATTCTATCTTTACACACACATATTTCGCGGGAGATATCGATGTACTAAAATCCTTAACTTCCGGTAGATATTGAGCCAATCAAATTCCTTGATTAAGTTGGCCGCCATATTGAATTTGCACCTGCACCCTCGCGAAGATAAGCTTATTTATACATATTTGTTTGAAAACATGGTTTAAGAAACACTGAAGACTTCTGCGGCGGTAAGGTAGTTGCAGAATGGTCCCTTATTGTACACTGCCTTCATCGATAGCAAGGCCTTTCATGATACACCACAACGTCAACGGCGAGAATTGAGCGGTAGGATTTCTTTGTCGTTGTCACCGCCCGGTGTTTGTAAAGATGGGAAACAAGGTTGCTTGCTGTGTTTATAGTACCCCAAAAAGCAGCAGAAAGAAATACGAGGAACGATACCAACCGGCTGAACCTGAGAGTTCACCAAATCAGCCCAATGCAACTAACTTACAGCACATTAGCGAGAGGGAGCCTGAAGGTTTGTATCGTACATGTACAGTACGGGTATAGCCTAACATTTCATTTACAGTCTGTAGCTAGCCCGTTATATTTGTAATAATTTAAGAAAAAAAACCCAAACCCTCAGTATGACCATAATTCATGTTAATCGATGCTATCATGATAAGTTATGATGTTAAGTAGAAATATTGGTTTATTGGGAGACATTGGTATAAGGAAGGGAGTTGATCATTTACATGTATGTTTTGGTCGTTTACAAAGTGAGCTTTCAGGGGTTGCACAGATATAAAGGAACTTGAATAGTTTTTTAATTGCTCCAAGGTTTCATTCAGCTATATTATGTGATGTACATCTAACTGCTCATAGACCTTTAACATATTATATATCACTCAGGTGATCAGTTATAAGTGTTATTGGAGATGACAAGTTATATTCTGATCATATTCTGGGAGCACATTTACCTAAAACTCTTTCATAGGTGACAGATATTAGACATTATTGAACTGGTAATGTCCTCAACATATTGCTCATTCAAGCTGTCCATGAAATCTGAAGATGTAAAAGTAAAACCACAAAGACAGTCAACAACCTCCACCAGCAATTTTGGACCAATGGGTTATTAACTATACTCATTCCAGCAGTATGCAGCAGCACAGTGCAAAAAAGAAAAAAAAAAAAGAAAAAAAATAGTCCAGTCGCAAGTAACACAGGAAACAATCATTCTTAACAAAATGTGATGATATTAATGTAAAATTTATAACCAGATAATTATTTTCATTGATACAACTTAAGAAATCGACACGACTTGTTTACCCTCAGGTCGTAGGCCATGTTGGTGAGTAATGCTTCTTTGCAATATTATGGACGACCCGACATAAACAAATCATACCGATTTGTTTAGTTGTATCACTTGTATGACATTTTGTGAAATATGACTAAACCTTTTATGATCTACAGTTTCACAAAGACAACCATCATGCCATTAAGATTTTAATGTTATTGATGGATAAGTGTGAGCTTGAACTGGAGAAGAATGATTTGAAAAAATAGGAACATCTGCAAGTGTCATTTTTTAATAAGTTGGGATGTATACTTTTATGTCCTCATTATTGGTCTACATAAATACAGATTAGAATGATCATTGTTTTCTTTAATTGGTTGAGGTGCTTTTATGTCTACATAAAAAGAAATTGAAATGATTTTTTCTTTGTATGAAGCCTATAAAAGTTTAAATATTTGAATATTTTGTAAAAGTTAACAGTTATTGGTTTCTGGTAGATACATGCAATGCCTGATATGTATAACATGCTGGTGCATGGGAAGAAATTAAAATTGTATGTATGTAGCAGCGATATGATCTATGTCGTAAACCTTTGTATGATATGCAAATATATGTATGTGACACATTTTTCATAACAGCTTTCTTTCATGTTGATATGTAGGCACCAGCTTTATGCTACAAAATCTTCCCATGATGATATGTTTCCAGTATAATCATTTCAGTGATACTACTTAATTTTTATACTTAATTGATACTAATTAAATGAGTTTGTGTGTAATTGAAATCATAATTATGTACATAGCATGTGTAAAGACTCATTTAGTTTTGTTTTAATTTTCAGAGACAGATGGTGATCCATCAAATCATCCTACAACTGGGACACTATTTCTGTCAAGATCAAAAGCAGACCTGCAAAAATTAGCAAGTGAGTATAGGAAGCGGCTATTTTCCTAGTTTAGCTTACTATTTGATATTTTAAACAACCTGTTTCTTGCAATGAATTCTTTTAAATTTGAAAAAAAAAGTTATTCATATTATTTGAAATAATATTTGGAAAATAACCTAATCTTGTGAGCATAGAAAATCTAGAATATAAAAGTTGATATTTGACAGCATCATGACTTTGTGTAATATTATCCTGTTGTATATGTACCAACTGAAGAAATTGCATGATAACTCACAAGCTGATATTTTTCCTTAGTCTAGGAGCTGTTAATAGACTTAAGTCTGAGAAAGACTTATATATGTACATTCACTGCATGCAGCTTGATATTGTTTGCTGTTATTTGATTTTATTTTGTCATTTGGGTTCGTCCACATTGATTAGTTTTGTATACACAGTATTGATGTCAATTCTCGGTCCTTATGCACTGGTGTTAAGTGATGTGCAAATATGTATCCTATTGTGGTTTTTGCAAAACCAGCAATGTGTTTATCATCAATAAGATGCACATTAGTGAAGGCATGATCATGGATAAGTTTTTCTTTTGTTCACTGACATTTTGATTAGCCGTATAATAACACTGGTTATTATGTTTTCAGACGCCAAAGTGAATCGTCGCAAAAGTCAATATGATAACCATGTAAGTGTGTTGGCACATATTAGTGGTCTAGCAAGAGAAATAATTTTTGGCCTAATGATGCTTGTTTCAGTGAAAAATCATTTAATAACTTGTGTAATAAATATAAATATATATTATCACTGCAACTTGGCCATTACCCAAATTTGAAGTCTCGCAGCTAGTGAATAAATAACTTATGACACCAGGCAATAACTGGGTTTAAAAAGTTTTATAGAAAGTGAAACGAATTCCCAATCATTATTTCCCGGTATCACAGTGGTTCTTAAACTTCTAATACTTGTCCTATATAGGCCTTGTGCACTCTACAAAGTTATATCAAATTATTATATTAATTGTAAGGGATTCTGTGCCCCTCCCCCAAACCACCACCACCAGCATATACTGCACAAGGGTTAATTTTCATACAAACCATTCTTTTTTTTTTTTTCAACCAAAAAGGAATACACTCTCATGTTTGTAGTGTTTTCTTATTTCCGCAGGTTCACAACCATGGCAAGTTGCACAAAAAATACAGCTCTTGTTCTACGATCTATCTTGATGACTCCACGGTTACCCAGCCTAACCTTAAAAATACAATCAAAGCCGTAGCATTAGCCAGTTATTTACATATCAAGAACAGAGACAAAACAAACAATCATGTCCATTTAGATTCAAAATTTCTAGAGACATTTGATGAGAAACTTCACCCCTTGACGGTAAGTTGAGGAAATCAAGACTTTTGTAGTGTTTATTATTTTGTTTTCCTTAACTTGATGTCATATAGTTAAAATTATGATTTAAACAATTGCTACATATTTGTGATCATATAAACTGATTGATATCTCGAAAAGCATTAAGTATTTAAGATGACCATTGTGTGAAAGGCAAGCCAGCACCTATCCTGAAAATGATCTTAACAATTTACAAAGATTTTTCTATCTGTTTTCAGCGTGATACTGTTCCTGATGATTATGATCAAAGGGACCCTGAACATAAAACTATCTATCGATTTATCAGGACATTATTTAGTGCTGCACAGTTAACAGCAGAATGTGCCATTGTAACCTTGGTAAGTGAGAAGTCTTTTCAGAGTTTTAGGTGTCTATGGTCTCAGAACATCATCTCTTATATAATCGTCTTATAAAGAGACAGAAGAGAAGTCCAGCTGCAGAGATATACTGGTTTCAAATTTAGGGCTTTTTAAGATAAAAAGTCACTGTGTCGAACCTTAATATCTTCATTCTGTTTCTACTTCTACACATATACACAAGCAGAGATCTGTAATGCATGTTTGTCAAATACTACTTATGTTCTGAGACTGTTTTCAGACTTAAACGTGCATTATTACACCTCCACTCATAAACACACACACATTGACCCCCCCCCCCCACACACACACACACAGATAACTAAAGTATATTAAAGTATATTTGAAGTATATTTGTCATATTCTAGGTGTACTTAGAGCGGCTGCTAACTTATGCAGAGATTGAGATGCACCCAGGGAACTGGAAGCGAATGGTGCTTGGTGCAATATTGCTGGCCTCGAAGGTTTGGGATGACCAGGCAGTGTGGAACGTGGACTTCTGCCAAATTTTAAAGGACACGTCTGTAGAGGACATGTGAGTTGACGTAATATTTATTGGTATTGTGAATTATTTATTTTTTCATGGTTTTCTTTGTTCATATCAGATGGTTATACTTACACATTGCAACCTTACATAAACAAATTTGGCTTCATGCATGGTTTCCTTTATGGGTTGAAAACATTTTAAATTTCAAAGGTGATATCTCCCAAAAGGTGGGGTATACAAATGGTCTTGATGTTGGAAAAAACTCTTTGGAGGACATAATTTTTAAGGGCATGTTGCTGCTGTTTTTGTCACGATCCAAAACTTTACTCCTGCCAGTGAAAACTAGGAATAGATAACTTATGATAGTGTGAAAGTCATTATAAATCTTTTTGTATTTCAGGAATGAGCTGGAGCGTCAGTTCCTAGAACTACTTCAGTTCAACATTAATGTTCCCTCCAGTGTGTATGCCAAGTATTATTTTGATCTGCGGTCACTGGCAGATGCTCATGAACTCAGTCTGTCATTTGAAGCTCTGAGCAAAGAAAAGGCTTTGAAACTAGAGGTAGGTTGATGCTCAGATAGAGAGAACAGTGTCTCTTCTGCGCATATGTTTTTGAGAACTTCAGAATTTCAAAATTTTTATGTGAGGTGTCGTGTAGGAATTTCCCAGAAAATAATCAAATATTTAACGTATTTACTTTTAAAAAATGGTAGTTTCTCCAAGTTTCAAACCTTGGATCTTTTTGTCCCGACAATTGCCATAACTGTGTTACAATGTGGGGAAATTAAAAGTCCTAACTCACACTTAAGCACAATTCATATCTATGTCAGGATATTGATTGATGGCAAGGTTCATCAGGTGATAATTAGATTATAGCTGGTAGCTTTAATTCATTGCATTTTTATGTCAAGAAATGATAAAAAAAGCATTATTCATCTTGAGATACCTTCAACAAGAAGTGCTCTTAAAGTGTGTCTTACACCTTGTCTCTTAAAGTTGCTGTTTACCTTTAATATCATTCTCTTTCATTGAAGGCATTGTCAAGTGTGTGTCAGGATAGATTGAAAGACTCCATCAAAACCACTTTGAAGCGGACGCATAGTTTGGATGGACTGACCAGTTTGAAAAGAAGCAGCAAAGCAATATTGTCTTGACATCTTGGTGATGATCTACAGGGAAAAGAGTGAGGACCAAGGAAGAGTCAGCTGTATATGACCAGTCAGGACTGAGTCCATAATGCCGGCCAAAGGAGTTTGGATTTGGGAGGATGCAATATCCCAATAACACTGTAATATCTCATGCTCATTTCGATTGTCAACAGTGTTCAAAGAACAGATAGTAGTCCATGTTTACAAAAATAAATTCCCCTTCTTTCTTGTAGCTCATAGGCCACATAAACCCTGACAGGCATTTTAGAAGGTAGTACTGTTCTTCATTGTAGGGCACATTTTAAATTGTAACATAGTTACTGGCACAGGACTGCTCCTGATATACCATTTCCAGGGTTCAGTACTCGGGGGGAATTTCCCATAGGTCTTGAAACAGTATCCCCTGCATGATGTTCACTATAATACTCAGCTCATTAACCATTATGTGCAACAGACCCTTGTAATCATGTACCTGAAAGCCAGTGAGAAATGGTTGGCCCTACACATAGCAAGTGGATGTGGTAAAACGTGGTACAGAAGTACTGGCTGCTAGATTTTTTTACAGAAAATGTTCATCATTCCACCTCAAATGAAGCACAAGGGGAAATATGTTATGTTGTTTTTAAAGGAGATAAAGTATTATCAGATGTTATAATGTGAATTTTGATAAACAAGAGCAGAGGTATCTGTGGGGCAGTTCTCTGGGAGAAAAAAAATTAATGTGCAGTCACAGATAAATATTAGATCGAGGGGATTTAGTAATAAAAGCTTCTCATTATTATGCTTTTATTTATTGCCATAAATACTTATTTTATTCTTATATAGTGTATATGTGTAGTATGTATGTGATATAGAGTCCAATAAATCTGTGATTATAGTTGGATCAACTTGGGTTTTATTGTCAATTCTGATTTCAAAACTAACACGGGAAACACTTTCCCTAAATTTCATCATGAAGTTGAATATTCTTGTTCAAGTGACACCATTAAAGAAAACGAAAGTCATGAAGTTTGGGAAAATTTACCCTTTTATATGCCGTTGATCAAATTTTTACAAATGTTTGTCCCTCAAAAAGGAAGGCATTTGGTCATAGATGTTCTTTTGTCACAAACTAATATTTTCTGAAACATTCAATTTAATGTCATTTTCATTTAAACATTTGTCTGTGTCAAAAACTATCAGTTTGTAACATAACATTTGTGACCAAACATCATCAAACCGATGAACTTATTTCAATAAGGAAGACATTTGATGCAAAACCATTTGCAAAATAGTCATTCTTAGACAATCAGATACAATCTCTTTTGTCAATTCAACAGGATCACCGGTGAAATTAATTCAAAATACAGAGTTTAATCAGTTTTCTGCAGCAACCTCTTCAATCAAAGGTCTCAAATTTACTGAACATCTACTGAGGTTATATTTCTAAGCATTTTTACATTGACAGTGTGATGTTCTTCAAACTTTTCTACGTAAGTTACTAATGGATACTGTTTACTATAAGATCTAGCTATGTAGTAGGATTATATCATATAGTATATAATATATAATGTACTATATTCAAAGAAAACTTGTTCATTATATATATATATATTCAACTTCGCATTGTGTATAATATGATGATTTGGCTAGTAAACTGGGTTTGATTACTCACACATAATCTAGATCAAAACTACAGTCAACAACCACATAAACAAGCAGATTTGTACCATTTAAAGTGTGTCAGTAAATGTGAGTAATGTCTGAAAAAAATCAATCTTTCTCAAATTACCGAGCAGCTCAATTTCTGTAATGTCCTATTGACACAGAAGTAGTATAAATAGTGATCAAGCCTAGTTATTAGTGAATATTAAGTAAGTGCACAATCACAAAACTACTGGTGGGTTTCTGTATCAAGTGTTACATACCGGGGGCTTGAGCAATAAAAGTTAAACCAATAATATAAGTAAATAAATGTGAAGCATCTTCCCTACATTATCCCACCTTCAAAATACTTTCACACTCCTATTGGTGGGGTAAAAAAGATGGAAAAGCTAAAGCAACCTCTTAAAGCATAGCACAACAACACTAAATGTGAACATACCAATGGCAGTCATGATGTAAATTATTTGAGCAAACGATGTTTTGTCCAAAATTTTCTTATAAAAATGTTATTCTTCACCTGTATGTACTAAATATCACAACAATACAATCTCTTTTCCAAGACTGATAAAAATGATTGTGGAAATTTTGATCAACTTCTTTTGATCATAATTCTCCTATACAAAAATGTATTATTATCATCTACTACAAATTTACAATAATAATAATATTATTCTTAATTTGTTTAGTGTAAATATACATTAAGTAAATCAGGTGGATAAAAATAACAATGTTAAATAACGTGTCTCACCAGCCTTGATCATTGTTCTGTCTCTCTGATACAACAGATCTTAGTAATTTGAGAATGAAACATCAGCTAGGAATTAGCAGAATTTTTCTGTTTACCCAATATAATGAGCACTGCAAGCACTTGACAACTAGGCAAGTTTGCAATCTAAAGTCAATATGACTAAATTCTAAGCAGCAGTTCAATGGCTTTATAACAATAAAAAAAAACATTCACAAGTTTTCTTAAATGTATATGATCAACAAATTCAATCAACTAACAGCTGCTAAAATACATAATCAGCTCAATACTGAAAAACACCTATTTGAGGTCATCTCTGTTTAACACTTGTACTAAATTTGTGACAGCTAATGTTGTCTGTATTATGAGCATGTTATCAATGAAATATGAACAGATACCTTAATGTTTCCAGTTTCACAAAAAAAAAAAAAAATGTCAGCAATATACATATACCTGCCATACATCACAAAATTTATTTGTAAGGCTCTATTCCCATAGATTTTAGATCGATCTATCCCCGCGGGGAGTCTCACTAGATTACTTTCAGATAATCCGACTTAAATGTCCGTCCCGCCTACTACAAGCTGTAAGGGGGTAATTAACTTTCGTGTCCGCCCGGCTGACAGCTATTTAGCGTGAACCCCCAGGGAGTTAGGTCGATCTAAAGTAGGTTGATCTAATCTATGGAAATGGGGTGTAAGAGACAGTTGATATGAATACAATAACTATAATTGTTTCCAAATTTAAAATAATCACTGTTAAAAAAGATTGCACTATCACTATTACTTAATCCAGCCTGACATAGTGACTTTCACAATATTTTTGGATATTTTCCCCAAAGCAGCATGCAAGACCTGATCAAGCTTCCATTTCATACAATATAATAATTATCCACCATATATTAACTTTTTGCACTGTAAGACCAATCAAAAGCTATGAGATATTATTCCAATCGGGGTGGGGATTTTGACACCATTTTCATTTTGTACTACCACTTATAATATCAAACAGTTAAGACGCATAGTATTACATATCAAGGTTTTACCAGTAGTCTTGCTAGCTATTTTTTACGTAAATGTTCACCTTATATTGACAATTTTGTGACTGAATTTTTTTACTTGATAGAATCTATAGATGGCCATTGTTGACATGAAATTCACTAGAATACTTTCTCCAGTAGTCCTTTAAAAGTAGTTCTCGTCAAATTCTCAGTTGAACTGTTCTCTAGGTATTTAGGCATGAAGAATTTGTCCATGGCTTCTAATCAGAGTGGAAAGCACTGTATGTAGCATACCACAGTTCTCCTGAATGCTTCAGTGTTCTGGCAAAACAAGACAGATTTTTGAGATATGGCAAAGAACTCGATTCAAATCATGTACTCAAATATGACATAATTTGCTTAAGGAACCATGCCACATTTAAATGTAAAAAAAAATATTGAGAAGGTAAATTTTTGGAAGTGCTGTTAATCAAATGTAACTATGTAATTGATCAGAGGTGTACTTAACCTCCAAATAATTTGAAAAAATGTAGTAATCATGCATGATTGTTTTACGTTTCTTTCTGTCAGAAAATAAAGAGAAATATTCATGAAACTCATATACCTGACGATGTCTTTGAAGGCGGTTGACAGCTTCTTTACTTCATGCTTAATACCATGTTTCTTACACAATTCTTTCACCATAGGTTGCACCTTGTAATAGTTGTGTCTGGGCATGGTTGGAAATAGGCTAAAAACATCAAATATTTACTCAATCATTTATAATCACTCTTGAGAATTAAAAACCTACATAACTACCAGTAACACAAAATATCTTTACTTGAACTACTGGCACCTCAAAAGTAAACAAACATCAGTGAAAAATCACTATATCATATTTTGCATTCCTACGTGTCCATCAAACCAAATCTTTGCCTCCAAAATTATATTGACAATACACCTTTGTATATTGATCCATATTTGCTTAACCACGTTTCATTAAATGAATAACAAATGCATACATACTGGTGTTCTATCTGGAAGTTGAGATGTCCAGTAAACCAGTCATTAAAAAATGACTGCTCCACATCGCATGTTGCATGCATCTATGAAAAAAATTAACAGTGCAAATTTCACTCGGCAAATACACATTGTCATCTACAAAAATAATTGTGTTTCTGGATATTATCTAAATAAATAATGTTATATTTTACCTGCTAATTGGAAAGTGACATAAGTGTTTATCCCATGAACACAAAGGGATAAGGCAGCTTGGGAATTTTTGCCTTCTGATTACTTAAAAAACAATGTTAAGCAGTGGTTGTCACATGCTTAATTTTCTTTGAGTGCTTTACACAGAGGAAAAGCCTTTTTTGCAGAGAAAATGTTTGGAACTTTTATCCATCCTCCTCATTTCATGTTCTACTCCCCCAGCAGCCACTTTTTATAATCCGAAGAACGGCTGTTTGGATCAGCATATTTTTCATGTTTCATATTAATTTGAAAGTTTTCCTGAGACAGTTGTTTTATGGTAATTAGGTTATTAGGAAATTAGGAACACAAATGTGTCTAGCATACCTGGAGTGGCATCCATGGCTCCTCCTTGTCCTCATCAATCTCCATAGGAATGTGGTTACTCTGAGTAACCCAAGTGAACCAATGACTTTCTACACATCTGAATATATAGGGCACCATAGCTTATATGAAATCAATTATCTTTTCAATTCATATTACAATTATTCAAGTGTCATTGTTATAATGAATATTTAGTAATTTCAAACTAGATGTTTGTAGAAAAGATATAAAAGAAACAGCAACAAGAAATAAGACAACAAAATGTTTGTCACTCCAAGTTCAACGGAAACCTTTAAGGCATAGTTAATTCTTATTGAAACTATATCAGTTACTGTATTTACAATTCAATTTCAAACTAAAAGATAAATTTGACAAACCTTCCATGAGAAATTACTATGAACAAAATGAAAGAATGTTTTACAAATTGGCCAATTAAAAAAATATGTGGTTATAATTTGGGACCAGGGATTACAGTTATAGTTACATGCCTGTCTAAACCATTGCTATATAACTTGCAAATTTTTGTCCACTGATGATTCTTTTATTACAGAATATATACAAAAAATGTTTTTATTTCATTCAAATTAGCTCTCCAAACATTGCCTTACCTTATTGTAAAATAAAACAGAATGGTTCCTCCGACGCCTAACAGTGGGGTATACAGGTAAAATAGCTTTGCAAAGAACAATGATACAGTGAAGAGGTCCTAGAACATCAAAATGATCTAAATCAGCTGGCTAACTCACATCATTTTTAAGTCTACAATTCACACTTTGTTATTAGTCTGCAATTTGATATGATACATTTGTACAGTACAGAGGTGGACAATAAAATAAAGCACATATCCATGTAAAATGTATCTCTTTAGTAAAGCATTTCACCTGAATAAATTACTATTACATACCAGCCACTTTTTTCTGGTGAAGATGTGTCTGAACAGCATTATCTGAAAGTACACTGGGAACAGCAGGGGTGGTCCAACTGGAATGAAGTTCAAAAGCAGCTATTTAGTGATAGTCTCTTAAAAATGACACATACACATTCCTTCAAAAACTCTACTTGCAACTAGCAATCATATTTAACAAAACGATCCCCATTACCCTCAGAAATAAAAAAAAAATTGTCTTCAATTTCAGGTGGTGTTTTATTTCTTGTAAAAATGGAGAAATTAAATGGAGAAAATAGATGTACTTACTGACAAAAAAATACTTGTGTTGCAGATTGTACGGCATGGAATTTTTCTTTTTCTTGGCAATCTAAAAGAATACATACAAATGCTACATTTAACTCAGTATGTATTACATAAATGCAGGAAATAAAAAATACAATCTTTTAACAAAACTTCTGAAAACTAGAAAAATGTTTTCTTTCGTGCATTGCAAACTTTTATGATTTGTCTTCGATAAGACATATTTAAAGTGTTGGTTTCTATTCGTTGCCCTTACCTTAACAGGCATAGTCTCACCAACCACAAATAACTCCTCCAGCCTGACATCAGGGTCCTTACCCATCTAAAATAACAATAACAATAATGTCCAGAAACAAGTGATATAGATAAATAGATACAAAAACTGTCATAACAATATTGTGACCAGAGATGGATAGTATGCATTTATACTTAAAAAATGTCATCAGAAAGATGGAATAAGCAGTTTTGCAAATTTAAGATAAAATTATGGCATTCAGAGATTTTAAAAAAGAGGCAAAATCTTAGTAATTAAAATACTCACCACATTTGGTTTTGCATGATGTTGATAGTGCATGTGGTTCCACCAATGTGCAGATGCACCCTGGAAAATGGAAAAAAATTATTTCTAAAATTTTATAATCTTTCTTTGGATAAAATCTAAAAAAGAAAATCTGTCTCTTCTTTGTCATATTGTGCTACTGTAGTGTTTTTCACCAATTGATCACTGAATGTCATATGCAGCTTAATACCACATGAACTATTCAACTTGCTCCAATTTTTTAAAAATATTTCCTTGGGTAACTGTTTTTATAAACAGCCCTCACTGGTTTGTTGTATCATTTGAACTTTAAAATATAGTCTTCATTTCATTGTCTAATACTAATGTTTACATAAAGCAGCTAGTCATGTTCTAAGCCTAATTGGGATGAATATTAACCAAAGGAAAGGAAAATTTAAGTCTATATTTTCAAACTTCAATTGACAAAACATTTCACATGAAAATATTTAATAAAAATCATCCTAATTTAAACTGCTGTCCCTTGACTTCAGATCAGACTTTACCTAAATGATAAATGTAGACATTTATTAGATAGCACTGACATAAGGTCAAACACTATGCACTATGGCCTATACTGTGACCGCTTTTGCTGTTATCTCTGAGTAACAGGTCTACTTCTGTAAACACTTAACAGTCATGGTGCCTGGCAGAGATAAAAAAAAATAAGCTAAGCCCAACTTAAGTGAAGAGTACTAATTACATTATCTGCAATACTTTCCCCTGTATTCTAAAATTCCATAAAAATGATCTACAATTCTGTTAAAATAAATGTTGGGCCTCCTTAAATATCTACAAAGTACTATTTTGTAATTTATTACACAAATGAATGTATCTATTTTTTCTTTTGGAGAGATCTGTCAAAGTCAATGTTTTGTTTCAAATAAAATGCAGAAAAAATTGCATTTTCTATGAAATTATCAAAATAGGCAAAAGATAGTAGATATCAATACCTATTAATTTCAGCATGCATATTCAATCAGACTTCAGGATACAAATGAATAAACAAATGCCATATGTATAACTAGAAAAGCACTCAGAGAGCGCAGACCTCTGTCAAAGCAGCAAAGTCTCCATCCAATGCCGTTTCACCCCTAAATTTTCGATATTTTTTATTATTGATTGATTATTGATCCGTATCACCACCAAAAACTAATCATCTCTTCCTTGGCCCACTTCTGACAGTTCCTGAATATTTCATCAAAATCGGTCCATAACTTTTTGAGTTATGTTGATGACAGACGGACAAACAAACAGGGGTGAAAACATAACCTCCTTGGCGGAGGTGAAAAAGAGATTCATAATACATTTTCATTTACATTGCCCTCTGGAAATGGGCTTACTGACCTTAATAAACCCCATGGTAAACTGGTGCAGAACATGGTCAATTTTACTGTTCTTAAACACTGACAGGTGCCCAAAGTCATGCTGCAGCCAGCCTACCTGAGCCTAGAGAAAGTGAAAGTGACATGTCATGGTACTGAATTTACAAAATACTGTTAAAATGAAAGAGAATAGTACATCAAAAGTTATACGGTATCATGGACAACATTTCACACCTATGTACACAACAAATATGATCTTAATGAGTTTTGAATAAGATTCAATTAGGTGCAAGTTTAGTTCTCCCCTCCATCTCCTAAGACCATGGCTTTTTATGAAATTTTATTTCAGTTCTAAGCAGCTTAATTTAAATATGTGTCTTATATTACTGAAGTGATACAACTTTACCTGAACAGTGGAATACAGAACAACAGACACAATCCAAGGTATCCATCCAGTTCCAAAATACCACATATTTAAGTATGACAGTGCCTCCAGTATCAGTATATGTAGCAAAACCACAGCAAAGAAAAAATAACTAGGTTGGAAGAGGCCCTAGAAAGAGAAAAAAAAAACATTCACAGGAGGTGACAAAAGATGCTGCATGCTGATGAACCTTCATCACAAAGACCTTCAAATTCGTTTAACTTTACGTTTAACTGTTCACGTTAAACACTAAACTCAACCATGGTGGCAATGAGGTAGAACTGGCCTAACCTGGAACTTCCACAGATATATCAAACTTAGGATGCTGGTCCCAGAACAGTATCCGCATACCCCAAATGGAGAAGTGGTTGTCATGTTACTTGTAACATCTATGGGCATGTCAGTATATCAATATGGTGATCATCTTAGTCTTAAAATGTGTTAGAATTAAAGCCTAAATCTGGTAACAATTTTAAACAATTTTAAACAATTTTAAACCAAAATAAATCGATATTACCATTTTTTCTGCTTTCTTTCTTAACTCTTCAAAATCTTCAACGATATCTTTGGTTTGTTTCTCTGAGAGTGCTAGTGTTCCCACATGGAGTGCCTTGAGGAATTTTTTTGGGTGAGAAAGATCATTATGGAATGCTATAAAAGGTTCCTAGAAAAACAAAAGAAAAATGGGTACGAGTAATACAATAACCTTTAATAATGAAAAGAACGCAAGCAAATCTTTGTCTTAAAGCATATGACATACAATTTAAAACTCAAAAATAGTCAATATAAACTAAAAATTGTTGAAGACTACAGAGAATATTGGCTTTTTATATTTTTTATTGCTAAGGCCACACTTTTTTAATTTTATGGATGACATCCTGCGCGCGCACTNATATCCCAATCTTATATTTTGACTACCAAATACAAAAAGGCTTAAAGAATAAATATCAGATCAATTTATTTGAGGGTTTTTTAATTTTAAGGTCTGAATTAGGAAAGATAAATACATGTAGCTTTGCAGGATATGTAACATATAACTTTGGGTCATTTTCAAACAAATAGTATACTTTTAAGGTTACAGACAGGATTTATAATCATCAAAATAGCCAAAATGAGGTTTTTGTGCATCTAGTTATAAATAATACATCTACCATTTTGCTGATGGTAAAAAATAAAAAATTCCCTTGAAAATATATAATATTGGCTTTTTATATTTTTTATTGCTAAGCATAAACATAAGCACCTGGGAGTGTTTATTGTCAATTTGACAGCTTTCTGTATTGAGGTGAGATAGCAATCAGTATGGGGCGTGACTTCACCCCTGAACAAGATCTTATCACAAACAGTGGCATGGGTGATGACAGCATTTGGGCTTCAATTCAATACCATCGTTTTGGTTTAAATGTTTTTGTCAAGGGGTTATGAGGCCCTAGTTACAAAGGCATTATTTTGTCTTCCTAAGGCCATAATGTTATAATGTCATGGATGACATCTGCTCACACATCAGTTTTGCCTGTTCTAAACTGATATACCCAATAGTGTCATTAAATTGGCGTTAAACTGCGTTCATGGGTGCCCAGGTATAAGAGAAATTTGAGAAACCAATTTTACATTTTTTACCCTAAAATCAAAATTATGACATCATCAATGAAATGACATTTCTGTAAATGCAAAGGAATATAGTCAATAAATACTTAAAATTCATTTACCAGTACATATCTCAAAACATGTACATAAAAACAGTAATTTAGTTTTTGTTTAACTCTAGCTGTCTATAACCTTAAGAACAACTTACACAGTTCCAGTCAATCTGATCTAATCAAAATCAAAATCAAAATCAAATATGAAAAGACTTACTGTAGCATCTTGTCCTGAGTAATGTCCTAAGAGTCGGGATCCTCCTGGATGCTTGTCTGACCACCTGGTCACATCATACACTTCGCCATCTATAACAATCCACCGGTCAGTTTTAATGGAATGCTTCTTGATTTCCTCCCATGTCAGGTACTTGGGTCCACCTTTATTTCCCTGTCCTCCTTTCCCCATTATGCTGCTACAGTCTTTTCTGAGAGTAAAAAGAACGTAATTATCATCAAACTTAATTATGGGAGATTCTGCCTCCTTACCCCTACATGTACTCACAACAAACTGGGATCCTTCTTGGATCCAGCATGCAGTGAAAAAAATCTAAATTTGATAAAAATTTGTATTTGATGTACAGATATTATTTAAGCAAAAAACATTTCATTTTTTTAAGCCTTTTAAAAATTTTTGTGCACATCCATCAAAATTAAAATGACAATCTAAATGTGTTATTGCATGACATCACATTACATTGAAATTTACCAGAATTCTCCCTTTAAGAAAAGTTAAACAACACATGCTTTCAAGATGCTTTTGACATTTTTTCGTTTTGATTAATTGGTAAAATAAATCATATGACATGGAAAACATGACTAGAGGCACACACAATCTGATAACTTCATCACGTGTTCACCAATTTATCAGACATACAGTTTACAAAACTCCATTTCAAAATACACATGATATGACCAGTTTGCTGGATCAACCTTCAAGCTTGGAAAACAAGTGAAGACCAAATAATTTTTTAAAAATATTATCGATGTTATAACATATCATATCAGTGCCTTGTCCGCATTTGACAGATCTATTATGATTGTGGATTTTATGGCAATTTCCCATCCCCCTGTATCTGCTACCAGATGACAACTTGTGGATAACTTCATAAGCTAATCTGAGTCTCCATCATATTCATCATCTTTGTCATCACTCCTTTATCTTACTCTGAACTTTAGTTTGCAATAAACACGTGTCATTGCTATGATGCCTGGAAGCACTTGGTGAAAAATTAACACAGAATAAAAGCAAGGATAAAAGCAGTATTCTATGGGCAAACCAAACCATGATAGAACTTGGTAAGACCATATTCTATGGGCAAGCCAATATATGATAGAACTTATTAAGACCAAGGTGAATTTTTGTCCACTTACCTAACTTGTAATTAAAAGTGAGAATACAAAGCACCTTGAGAGTCTCCCAAAAGATAGTTAGAATTGTCTTTAAGGCAATTTAATAAGGGGCAAAGTATGACTTGGTTTCTGTATTGACTGTGGAAGATGTCAGCTTATGTGGATGGCAGGCCGTCTTATAATTGCCCTTAGATAATACATTTAGAGGATAACAACTCTTCACTTTGGTGGGAAGTGACATTAAACTGATTTTCCTGGGGTCAATGACAATTTCCCCACACTTTCCAATGGTTAATGAATTCTACATTAAAAGTTAATCAATTGTTTTTTAAGTGTGTTTTTTGTAATAATCTCTTAAGAGATTATTATAGAGGTAGCCATCTATGAAGGTCCAAGTGGTCCAATGGCAAGCACAGATTTCAGATTTCAGTGGTAAAATGGAGAGTATTATATTTTTATGTGTTGTTAATAACAGGGGCGGATTTAGGTCGTCTTCTGGGTCTCCCAGAAGACGGTCATATCTTCAAGTTTACATTGACAGGTATCTAATTTTTTCTGTCGGAAGACGGTCAAAAATGAGGATGGATCAATAAAGATAATTTGGAAGACTGTCAGAAAATAGCTCTGGATCTGCCCCTGAATAATGCATTTATTGTGGCATTTTTGATCTTATATACCGAGTTGTTATCCCTTTAATATAAGTTATAATTCTAGGGCAGCAACCTAGTCTCAGAGATATCAAAATGTACATCTAAAATGCCCCTGCAACCTAGCCTGACATAATCATTGAGACAACACTGCAAACAATAAAGACATAACACATAATCAAACACTGGATCTATAAATCTAATTAGGAGGGTTCTATTTCTGAAAATGTAGACATTTTTTCTTTAAGTTGATTCAACTTAAGAAATGGCATAGATCAAATTAGGAATGGACTTCTTTCAGCCAAAGGGTCATTTTTCACAGCCCTCGAACCCCAGGCCTAACCCCCCCCCCCCCCCCCAATCTTTGGCCATACATTTATTGCTGAACTCATTTAAGTCCTCATTTAAGATTATTATTCCAAGACTTTTTTAAAAAAGCAATACTTAAGTACATTAGACTTTGACACATTGGTATTATATGCCAAACACTTGACTTAAAAATGAATGTGTTAACACTTGGAGGTGAGGGTCAGAAACAATGAAAGGGAATAACAACTCTTCAGATGAGATTCAAAATTCCACAATAAATACATTGTAAACAACTCAGAGAAATATTATTAACTCAATTTTCCACCAAATGGCAGTGATTGCAATTATTCTAAAATTCGTGCTTGCCATTGAACCAAGGGGACCTTCAAAGATGGCTACCCTCCATAATAATCTCTTAAAAGATTACTACAAAAAACACTTATACAAAAAACAATCGACCAATTTGAATGTTGGAATGGATTCATTAACCATTGGAAAATATATGAAAATTGTAGTTTACCCTGGAAAAATCCATTTCATGGCACTTTTTCCATGGAAATGAAGAGACTACAGCAAATTTAAAATAATCATACATCTATGTGAAAAGTTTTTTTTTTTTCATAATTCTTATCAGTTTGTGAATTATATGTATTGTATAACGATTTATAGCTACATTGATGGAAAACTTCTGACATCATTAAAGTATCCATTCCCCAAGAGTAATCACTACCAGCAACATTTATAAAAACTATAAAGTCAATTTACTGTAACTATTTATGTAAACAAGAATTGTTATCTGTTTATTTAACTTCCCATGTTTGAGTAACCTTGATAACTAATTTAATACCAGTAATTAGTAAGAATGTTTTATTATCTTCCCCATCACTTGTTACAGTGATATAGAATACAGAGCTGTACTAGTAAAGCTGTCCCATTAAATTGAGAGATATTGGTATTAATCAAAATTACAACAAACAACCAGGACACCAGCAAGAAAAACAGATTTGACTTTCACCTGGGCAAATGTCAAACCAAACATCAACAATCCATCTTCAGTAATTTCTTTTAAAAATTCAGTAATAAATAGAAGAAAAAAGCTTGAATTTTAAGCCTACAATAACCAATTTGTTTTGCATATATTCTTCATTACTGAGACAGTGAGAATTATACATGTAATCTGGCAGCAGACATTGTTGCTATAACAACATAAAATGTTCATATAAACTCATTATTTCTGGTTGATAAGCGCTGGCTGTTATGAAAAGCTTTGTTATGTAAAGCCGTTACCACTGCGTGTGTCAAATACCCTGACCCCATTAGTGCACTCTTTTTAAAAGAACTCTTAAGAATCAATGCACTTTTTCGTGTTACATGTGTGCCCCCTTTAACATCATCAATAATAACTGGGAACAAAGCTACCAGGTCTAGAAATCAATTAATTGGAACCCCCAGAGCAAGTAAAAAATATTTCCGGGCCAAATTCCTATTCGTTTTCACTCTATGGACAATGTCCCGTGCTTGAATAGTCTGAATAGCGTGCTCCGCTACACGTACCTGACAAACCGGCCGGCGCCAATCACTAGGCAGTCTTGACAACCCTCAAAATCGATGACAGTGAAAAATCCCGAATGATTTCAAACGTTCTCTTTTGTTTCTGCTTTTGACCGGTGTCAGCTTGGTGGTATGGAGCTCTAGAATGCCAAGGAAGTGGTCAATATAGACGTGACAGATAGCCTTCCACATTCACCCTGACATAACTAGCTATCTCAAGAAGTCAAGGTCATTCGCTCACCTGATGCCGATTGCTTCAGTTGAGCCTTGAACTGGAATTTAAATTTACAATATACTTAATTTATGTTGTCGATCTAAAATCAGTTCACGTGGTTGTTTTTGTTGATATCTGATGCGGGTTATGAAAATATCGCTATCCTTACTTTTTAAATTTTGAATAAAACGCAGCTTCTCACCCGCACGCATTCAGTCAAACACTGTACTGCTGACGGGCTTGAATTTGATCACGTTAAGTGCACCCAGAGTGCACGAGCGTATCTTGTTGTCACTATCAGTTTCTACAGTATCAGTATCAGTATTTATTTCATCATATCATGTTTACAACTAAAAGTGTAACACTACAACAACTTTTATCAATGCGTGGACTCAAGAATTCATCATTTTAGCACAAAATTTAATATTTTTGTTATTGCTTCAGTTCATATAGTGGCGCTGAAGATCAATAATGATAGTTTGTATATTTTTGGCAACTTGGTATGTTAACTTCTGAAGCCAATAAATCACAGTACCTTCAAAGGAAAACTAATTATTAAATCCTTTAATGATTGTTAGATGTAAATCTGTAGAAAATATATCACATACTGGTATATACAGTACAATATCACTTCATCATTAAAAGATAATTTAAAAATGTGAATCAAAAAGTAGGTTTAAAGCAAAACAAAACTTTAACATCAGTCAACCAGTTTTCACAATAAAAGCTTACAAATATCATGATACATACAGAGTACACACATCAGTAAAAATGAGTAAATGATAAAAAATATTATCTGAATTCACCTGAGTGACTCATATCTTAATCAAAGATGGCTTCCTGATCAAATAAATTCGAGATCTGATACACTGATGTTGCATAATCTTTCTTTCAACATAATTTGGTGTAGTGACAAACTGACAGCTGTCAATAATATCCACCAAACATGCTATGTACACGTAATGGTTCTCTAAAGTACACCATACATCTGCCATCCCCAAAGTAAACTGCTTTTCCCACAGAAATTTGAATTGCTTGAACTGCACTATTACCTAAAATCTCTGGTTCCATACTTATCATTTCAACCAGATCACTACCTGCTTGTACAGGTGAGTATCCCTTAGCACAACCAATTGTGATGTGTGCTTTGCTACCATATCCAGAAGATACATTGTATGCACTGAATGTTCTACGACTGGCTGCTTTCTTTAAATCTTCTGTTTTAGGACCTCCATGCTGTCTAGGTTTCTGTTTTTCAGCTTGTGGTTTCTTTGCCTTTTGGGATGAAGACTTTGAACTGTCCAGGACAGTCAGTTTGCTCATCAAAGTTTCTAAGGCACCATCATCCTTATCACGTTTCAAGTCATCTTCATTTCCCCATAGCTTTAACTGTTCTTTACTAAGCCTCACTCGAGCTGTGAGTGTCTTCGGCGTCAGTACAATCCCTATAATCTCAAGGCTAGATGAACGGTTCATGGACTGTTGAACAATATCACTCCTTGCATAGTCTCCACTACCTGGCACTTTTCCTTTGCCACAAAATTTGGCAGTGCAATGAAGTTTGTTACCACCAGCGAAACCTTCACGAGAGTAGTAATTTCGAGCACTTCCACGGTTCTCTCCAAAACCTGTGATAAAATATTGAGGATTACTCAAATTTGCCTGTGATAAAACATGTCTTTATACAAGTTTAATATAGAAAAATATTTTTAAAACTTTCATAGGTTTTAACTGACATATAACAAATATATCAAAATGCAGAGAGGCAGAAAACCACTATAAGAACACAGAATGCTTTTAAAGATCATGTCCAAACAATTCTCAAAGACAATTAAATAAACATACCTATATTGTTTTTTATACATTCTCTGAACTGATCCACTTTTGTAAAACATTCCTGATAGACTGACATTCCCTGCTGGAGTATCATCTCCGAGTCAGGATAGTTCAAAAACCAAGCATAATACAATGGAATCATATCTTCAAAGTCCTCAAGCATATGCTCAATAGCATCTAATGGCACATTATGTGTATTCTTCTTAAAAAGTTCATTTTTGTCCTTATTCCACAATGTCTTGGGTGTCACTAATATAACATGATAGTTAAATTTATGGGCAAGTTCTACATACTGCTGTGTTTTTCTCTGTTTGAGATTAGTGCTATCAATAATTACCACTGGTGCACCACTAGCTAAGGCATCTAATGCTTTTTGCTGACAGGCTGCATGTGCTTCATTCAATAGTGATATATCGAACATATACACAGAACCATGCATAAAAAAGTCATCCGATGTGCAGCATACTGAGTGTTTATACTTCTTCTTAATCAGCTTAGCAAGAGTTGTCTTTCCAGAGCCAGCAACACCTCGCATGATAAACACAACCTGCGACCTCTTGATGTAAGCAATTGTATCAGCATCTTGTAAGAAAGGGAAATTTGTTGACTCGTCATGTTGTTGTTTTTTCTTCTTTTTGGATTTCTTTTTCCTCATTACCAGGAAGCTGCACCACCTATCTATTGAAAAATTAAAAACATATTTTAAACATATTTTACAAGTATTTGTAAAATCGTAACTGTTTGCTAAAATTGACAAAATGTATTACAAAATTTTTGGGCTGGTTTGCTTGGGCTGGACTCACTGTAAATTTATCTTTGACCAAATTAAACATCCACATTTTAGACTCCCTATTCCCCAAATACTGGGAAAACCCCCGATTCAATTCCATGTATCCATGAAAGTGTTACGTGTTAGTACTCCTACTTAGGGCTTCTGAGGTGTACTGCATGTGCTTAAGTACAACCAAGAACAGAAATATATAGAAATAGCTAGCCATACCGCATACGCTGTATGAAAACAATCATAACCTAACTTTCACTTTCACTGTGTCAGCTTGATTTTACCGATTGTTGTCTATTAGTCTTTCAAATGTTGCAATGGCCAAGTGCAAAACTTACCATATTCAAGTTTAAGTTAAACAAATATGTCAGGTGAAAGGAGTTCGTTAAAAATTCGTGAATCAGTATTACCAAATCATCAGAACCTTTACTCTGCTTGCATCTCACTTCCTCGTAACACCCTGCCGCCCTAAACATTAGCTCTGCACCAAATGTTTATAATCTCCAATCCAAATCCAGAGGGTGTGCAAAAAACATTCAATTAATATTTTTCTTCTTTGGTTTCCTACACATTATTATTTGGTTTTTATGAGATAGTGAAAGTAATGTTAAAATTTACCAGTAGCGCAATGGTCATGCCGATTAAATCCGTGACCCGAAGTCCTCTGTGTTGACACAGCGCCATATTGGATCGCCTGCTAGAGTCCACACTCTGTGCACGAGAAGCAGATTTTCGATTTATTCTTCCTCCAAAGATGGTAGAATTAGGCAAGGGGCCCTTTCAAGAAGAAATAGACAATTCACTATTTATAATTCCTGGAATTATAATTGTACTTTTAGTAGGTAGGTAGGTAGAAAACAATTTATGATTCCTGGCACAGGTTACCGACCGGCGTCTCTCTTTGCGGCATCAGTTGACCACCTGCCACGTTTCATACGATCAATTCCGTTTGTTTTCTAAGTTACTATTACATTCAGTTAGCTCATTACTTCTTTTTTTATTTTAGATACGTTCACATGAAATTGTACGCCAAAAAATCAATTGTAGCTTTAGAAAATGTCATTCATAAAGGGTTAACAAAAGCTGTTGTATTAATATAGTATATGGTCTTTGATTTTGAAGTTACGTTCATTATTATTCATTGATGAATGTGTTGCAAAATAGTGCCTCCAGCAGAACAAAATTCCAGTCTTACCTTCCTTAAGTGACCAGAAAAAGTTAAATACAGAAGTCACAAATATCACTTTAATTATTTACCAGCTTTATTATTTCTCCTTAAAGAAGATGATACTAGCTGGCTTATTAGTAATATTACTAGACAATGCACATCTTTTGATCATACATATTTGGGTCATTTAGGCTCTTGTTTTCTTTTTTCCTCAAGAATAATTTTTTTTTTGACTTGGTAAAAAAATTAGTTAATGTTCTCCGCCATTTACATGTTTGCTGTTTTAATGCAAGTAGAAAATTTAAAGTACTAGAATTACTAATTTTAAACTTTAACATATTTTATATTTCACTGTAGATAACTGGTAAATGGTGTTAGTTGAAATCAAGGGGATGTGTTTTACTTTGTTCAAGACGAGTGATATATTCTGTCAGGGTAGATAGTTGATTTGCGATATGGTTTTTATAGAAGTACAATTTTTCATATAACCTGTTATGATCTGGTTAAGTAGAGCATGGTCTTAATGATTTTCAACCCTTTTCGTTATTTACCTCTGTTCTATTTATGAACTGTTTGATATCTTTTAAAGTCACCAGTGTCCTAGTAGTACAGTGTTAAACCACAGTATAAAATTCTAAAATGAAATGTATGGTACTTTTATTTAATGTTGTTTATTAATTTAAAAACACAAAGAGAAGAAAAAATAAGGGGATGTGCAGGAAGTATACATTCCTAAGTTAGATATAAGATATGAATAGCCCTTATGTTGGACCTTGTTATCTATGAATTTCAAATTTCAAGATGTCTGTTAAGAAAGAGCCATGTTTAACCCATATCAGTTGTTAATGTTGTCATGACTACATGCATACAATATGGAATCCTAACTTACATTGCTGATAGCACTTTAACATGAAAAAAATAGATAATATAGTAAGTGTGCTCAGCATGTAATTGGACCATGTTGGAGTGAGTTTAAAGATTTCATGCGCTTAAGATTCGGTGCAAGAGAATTAAATCAGAAGTTCTTAAATTCTTTTTCTTTATTACACTTTTTTTTAAATTTAATTTAATATTTAATTTCTAGAAACAGTTAAAACCAAAAAGCTTTCTTTTTTGCTAAAAAGTGCCACTGTAGCAGGACACACGGTCTTGTGAATAGGGCCCCCATTATGTTACCCTCGTATTAGATTAGCAATTTGCATGCTCACTGTGCTCTGTGTGATAATGACATATGGATAGGTAGTTCATAGCCAGGAAAGCTACCTACGTGTACTCTAGTTGCCATTCAGGAAGCTAGCCATATGGAAGCTTGATAGAAGCTTTTTAAGAAAAAGTTGTTGCTTAATTAGAAATAGATTAAAAGATGGAGGAAGAACAGATACCTCAAGAGCCTGATAGTGTAACAGTGGAACAGATAGGCAGTGGATACAGTACATGGTTATTTGTTCTTTTGATTTTGATCCCTGGTTCAGTAATAGGTAGGCATATTTTTTACCTTTGCTGTTGGCTTCCAAGTAGGCATGGTTATCTTAGCTTATCTTAGGGCATTGCCTACCAGTTGTCCAAGTGGTGGTTGGAATGGAATATACATGATTGTCAGTCATCTTTATTCTGCTGTAGAAGTGCAATTGCTTTATCACAACATTCATAGAACTTATAATTATGTGTAGTAACAATACAGCAAATCTCTTTAAATATCTGGATAATAGTTTCAGATAATGTTCCTTTAAGACCATTATCTGATTTTAATTAAAATTAAGTAAAGGTTTTAAGGTATTATTGTGTGCTTACTGTTGCAGATTGCCCTTTTGAAGTCTTTTTGATATAAACTTTACAAAACCTGAGAGATACCCTATTATGATTTGTTCTATTTCCATATTGAATATTGTTTTGTCTGGATGTGTGCCGAATACTTTAGTTTTATAAATTGCTATGTATGCTTTTGATCAAATTTTGTCTCTTTGGTGAATGTGTACAGTCAACTAAATAAAGAACAAGTGTTCTTGATTATACAAATGAAGAATTGGCATTTTTAATTATGCAAATGAAGAATAAATGTTTTTAATCATACATTGAAATGAAATGAATATTACTTTAGAACAGTTTTAGTAGAAAGAGGAGGTAAATAACCTGCTTACTTTAAATATTTTGAACCATAGTCTGGTTATCTAGATGTATGTAAATATTTTTGAAATAATTTTTTGAAATTAAATGAAAATATAAGACACTGAACTTAAACATCTTTTATGTACCAAAAAAAACTGATTATATGAGTAACTGTATTTTTGTTGTTTAATTTTAGGGTTTTTCTCTTACAAGCTTGTGAAGAGCTTACGAGATAAAGAAAGACAGAAGGATGAGAAGAAGAAATTAAAACAACAAAGAAAAGAAAAAGAACTATCAAAGAAGCAGAAGAAGAAATAGATCTGAAAGACAAAATATTAAAAGAATGACTATTTTATTAAATTATTTTCACTGTGCTGTATTGGACAGGCCAATTTTAGACAAAGTTTTAGGAAAGGATAATGGAATTAGTTGACACAGGACAAACTTATCTGCAAAAGGTGATTCTAGTGTACTGAACTTCTTCAACATTTCGGCTGCCAAACAAGGAAATCCAAAACCCATACTGGAAATGTTCTTTAGGACAATGCGGGCACCATGCAATATTTTGCCAGATATCTTGAAAGTGTGCTTCATATGCTTACTAGTATTACTTAGTTACCCAAAAACAAGCTGAACTTTGATGTTCAAGATTTTCACTTTATTCAAGTAACAGAACCCTTGCTGTATCTTGGATTAATTCAAGAGGGAAAAGTCAGAAGAAACATGCCGAAGAGATAACAATCAGAAATGCTGCCTTATGACCAGATCTGTACGTTCAACACCTCTCACGTAGAAACAGATTCTAAATAAATCCTAGGATTATTGGTTTTGTCCACTCCTATGGTACATACCTATTTTGAAATAAATAACATGAAGAATTCAATGAATACCTCCACAGACACCAAAGTGGAAGCATAACAGATAAAATTCCTGCTGAACATAAACTAATAAGCAAGTGTGTTTCTATTGACTTTATTTAGTCTATTTCAAATGAATTAGATATTTTTTATTGAAAATATAATATCATTCCAGTGTCATTGCTATGTTAATGGTCACATGATGTGCTTTTGAGTATGTGATGCTTAATTGTTAATTACTATGATGTGAGCCTTTTCTAACAGTTGTAAGTGGTAGGGAAATTTTTTTGAAAGTAAATTTTGACCATTCATTAACTTATTTTCAGGTTCATATCACATAATACACAGATTTTATTCAATGGGCTTTTAATTTCAGTATTAGTGATGGATAGAGATAGAATGCAATTTTACCGAAACAGTAGTTAGATGGGATAAGGGTGTGAAAAACATTCAGTTGCTTTGTTAGTTGAAATCATGTCTCAACATTATACAAATTAAATTTATAAATATATATATTTCTGTGACAAATGTAGTGATAAATGCACAAAGAATTGGACATTTTATCAGATCTTTAATTCAATAATTTTGTTTATACAAATATAGTAACAAGAGCCCAGTACAAGGTTCAGCAGGTCAAGAAAAGAGGTGTTAGTGATATTTATCTTCTGAAATTTAAAATTTTGCTTCACAAATTTTTCAATTGAGTTGTGTGAAAATTTTAAACATGCATATTAATCTTCACCATTCTGGATTTTCTTGCTTTGAAGACAAATGTTACAATGGAACATGCAATTTTCTTTTGATTTGTGGGGAATTTATAAACAGGTGAAGAAAATAACTCATTTGTGACAAAAATTAACACGTTAGGCTAAATAAATTTAGAATGACAGTAATGAATTAAAGAATGACTTTATCCACCAGATAGCTTGTTTTAAGAAACTTGCTTAGATTACAGAATTTATAACATAAGTGCTTCCTGCATTTCTACCAAGACACAAGTGTATTTCAAGGGATCAGTAATGTACTTAGAGAATTATTTTATATTGAGTGTCAGTAAATAAAATATAAATTATTTCATCTATAAGATTTTTCTTCATGTATTTTTCTTCTCTCAGTCCATGCAAACCTCAAAAAGACAGTTTACCTGTGTATGCAATGACCCAATGGCCTTATGGTCAGTGTCTGCCTCCAAAGCAGGAGTAGATGGGTTCCACCTTGTTTAGAGACATACCAGTGAGTCTTTCATAAAACTGTACTTGTTGTCTCTTGGTTTGGCACTCCTCACTTTGGGGTTGAAGCAGGGGTAAAAAAGATTTTTCATTGGCTAGGTTTCAGCACCTCATATAGCAGCTAGGACATATGGACTGGATTAGGACCAAAACTGACCAGGTATTGAGGTGTCCAATGTAAAATGTGCTGAGATGCATGTGTAGTGCAATGTATTAGAACGTAACTTTCTCTTTTATGTATGACTGTATAAACACGACTGATGACCATGTGAAAGACATTCACTGATTGAAAAAGAAGCCAACTCTTGAAACATCATTTTCATTAATTCTGTTTATTATTCCACGATCCAACAATTAACATTTTTGTTCTTTTTTAACTGTAAACCACAAAAAATCCACTTCTAATACTATGAATTCCAAGTGGTTGGTGTCATTAAGGATGCCAAAACATCTTTTAATTTGTTGTGAGAAATAAACCATTATGCATAAAATGTCCAAATTTAAATAAGACTGAAAAGTTAATGGATATCTTAAACTAGACTGCATGCAGTTGGATCCATAAATTATTGAAAGCTACAGAGGCAAATTTTGCAGCAACAAGGGATCACCTGAGAACATAAAACCAGTTTGTCAACACTATTTGACATCATACGAGACTAAAAAACCTGAAATTCCATACGAGCAGTAAGGGCATTGAGCCATTTAAGAAAGAAATACAAAAGTGACACAGGAAATATTGCACACTGTTGTGCAATAGGCTGTTATTGTGCAACACTTCAAAGAAAACAACTGGGAAAATATCTGTGGTTAAACTGTTTTCTTCCCCGTTGCATACAGCTAGTCTGCCATCATTTCTGACCCCCACTCTCCTCAAAATCTGACTGACAGTAGATCATAGCCAGGGGTTTCATGGTACATGCACGGGCTGAAAATTGATGATGTTGTATACTTTTCCCAGAAAACCTAAAGAACAATTGCCTTACAAGCTCCACTTTTTCAGAAAAAAGACCCCCTTTTGAAATTGCTGGCTTGGGGCCTGAGATCTCGTGCTAATTTGGGCTGTCTCAGATGATCCCCATTGTTCTTTTTTTTTTATGGGTAAAATAAGATTAAAAATTATCTACATTATATGCCTTTACAATATCTTGAATGAAAAGAAAGGCAAAGTTGACACATTAAGGTTAACATATCAAAAACATGATTGAAAGATGAATTATTAATGTATTTTTGTGCTTAAAATTTGCCACCTTAACCTTTAAAAGACTCATTTATACACTTTCCACCAAAGTCTTTTGAGAAGACTATTTTGAAAGCAGACTAGACACATACTGACATAATGATAGTTTATCTCACGACAGGAGCTTCAAAACAATACAATAATTGAAGTAGCATTTGCTTACAATAGATCTTCAATTGCATGTATTTTATATTGCTTCAATGTGTTCCATACTTCCATGCATCCAATTTTGTTCAAATACTGGTAAGCATACATTTATCATAAAGGAATTATAAGTACATTTATCATAATGATGGAAGCACAAGCCATCAGTTACAAGACAACTCATACTGTAACTAATACATACATCAATCTCTAAACTTTAAATGCAAGTTGTTTTATCCAAACTTCAGGTTGTTAAATGCCTCAAATTAATATCATGGAATGGATTCACACGTTTTGATTACCAATAAAATGATACTGTGTAGATCTTTTACAATGTCCATAACATACGAAAAATAGGCGTCGAATAATATTGAAAATGTGTTGCATTGTGCTAAGTTTGTCACTTTTTAAAATCCACAAAAAGGTGGCAATACACTTGAAAGTAAAAACTTAGACAAATAAAACATTTTATTTTTCAGTGAAATCAAACTTTTTTCAGCTATTATTGTAAAACAACATAAAAGTTGGAATAGTCTGAATAGTATAATTCTTAACAATGATCCTTCTTTTGTAGTCAATAAAAGGAAATAAAAACTTACATTTACAATTAAATCTATAAACATATGCATATGCTAGTAATTCATAGAGCAAACTGTAACAGTGGAGTATTTTTTTTTTTTT